CATAAATGAAATTTATAATAATTTCTGATATCTGATAGGGCAGATTTCCCCACTTATTCAAGATGATCATGGCCTTTTTGTTAAACTTTTTTTTATATAAACATTTAAAAATAGACTAAGCAAAACAGTATAAAGCTGTGTTATCTTAGACAGTATATAAAGTATTGGCATGAAAACAGACCGTTTTTATAGAACAGTTTCCGAAATCAGACCCTCAAAAATGTGCAAATTTGAAATATGACAAAGATGGCATTATCAAAATGGGAAAAGACTGGGACAGTGGGTGTGGAACAGTGAGAGTGCCTATGTAGATAAAGCAGGTTTCTGTTTCACACCTGAATACCTGTCAGCACAATATGTGATATGAGACTGTGATATTCTAATTAATGAGTGACGTAGTTATCAACAGTGTTGAGGGCTAAGAGGTAACTGCAAAAGAACATTAAGGTTTTAAAACCTGCAACATAAGTAAAGGTGTAACATATATGCACTGTAATGCTAAACTCAAATTCCTGACAGTTGTTACCTCAGAGGAATGTAGTGTATTTGTGGTGTTTTGTTTCCTGAAGTTACAAAGAACTGGAGGGAGTTAGAGCAAAATATTAAAAATTGATGGATCTAGGTGATGGGAAACAGGTGTACATGATAGAATTTTTTTTCTTTGCCCCCCAGAATTTTTTATATTGTTTCTATGCTTGAAATAGTTTATAATGCTTTATAACATTAGTATATAGGCTAGGCATAGTGGCTCATGCCTATAATCCCAGCACTTTGGGAGGCTGAGGCAGGCAGACCACTTGAGCCTAGGAGTTGGAGACCAGCCTGGGCAACATGACAAAAACCCTCTCTATAGAAAATACAAAAATTAGCTGGGCGTATTGGTGCATGCCTGTAGTCCCAGCTACTTTGGAGGCTGAGGTGAGAGGATCACTTTAGCCTGGGAGGCAGAGATTGCAGTGAGCCAAGATCGTGCTACTGCACTCCGGTCTGGGCAGCAGAGTGAGACGCTGTCTTAAAAAAACAAACACTGGTATAACCAAATGAAGTACTTGAATCTCGTTTTGTTCTTAATTTAAATAGAAAGATTTTTTTTTTTGGGGGGTCACTTGCAGAAGTTTGACCAGAGATTAAATAGGTATTAGATATCAGGAAGTTGTTAATTTTGTTTTGTGTGACCGTGGCAGTTGTTTATACAAGAAAATATATTTTTGGGGCCGGGCACGGTGGCTCACGCCTGTAATCCCAGCACTTTGGGAGGCTGAGGCAGGTGGATCACGAGGTCAAGAGATCGAGACCATCCTGGTCAACATGGTGAAACCCCGTCTCTACTAAAAATACAAAAAATTAACTGGGCATGGTGGCGCGTGCCTGTAATCCCAGCTACTCAGGAGGCTGAGGGAGGAGAATTGCCTGAACCCAGGAGTTGGAGGTTGCGGTGAGCTGAGATCGTGTCATTGCACTCCAGCCTGGGTAACGAGCGAAACTCCATCTCAAAAAAATATATATATTTTTAGAGATGCATGTGTACAGTAGATTAGGTAATGTAATATTTCTGGGGCTTACTTTAAAATACTACCGGAAAGAATAAGGATAGTTTAAATAAGCATGACAGGCTGGATGTGGCAGCTCATGCCTGTAATCCTAGCACTTTGGGAGACTGAGGCAGGTGTATCGCCTAAGGTTGGGAATTTAAGACAAGCCTGGCCGACAAGGTGAAACCCCATCTCTACTAAAAATACAAAAATTATCTGGGTGTGGTGGCACACACCTGTAATCCCAGCTATTCGGAAGGCTGAGGCAGGAGAATTGCTTGAACACAGGAGGTGAAGGTTGCAATGAGCTGAGATCTCGCCCCTACACTCCAGCCAGGGCAACGGAGCGAGACACTGTCTCAATAAATAAGTAAATAAATAAACATGGCAAAATCTTGATACCGTTGAACCTTGGTGAAAGCTATGTGAAGGATTGTTGTAGTATACCCTCAACTTTTGAGTATGTTTGAAAATTTTTATCATTACATATACAGCAGTCAAAGCAATAAACGAATGTTAGAACTCCTACTATTGGCAAACATAATGTTCTACAAAAAAATTAAGATTTTCTAACTTTATTTTAAACTTGTTTGTCTCCTTTTTTTATTTATATATAAATATAACATTCATATATAATATATATTCCTATATATATAAATAAAGTGAGTGTTGACCAAGTCTTTCTCCAGGCTATTTCACTTTTAAGTGCCAAAAATTTGATATTTGGGTTTGGTATTTACAGTTTTTCTGTTCATAATTATAGCATGATAGTTAATAGCTCCAGGTAATCCCCAACAAATCAGAAGTACTGAGGTAATTAGCATGAGGACGTGTTACATATATAAACTTGTATCTTGTTAAAATTGTACCCAGGTTGGGTGTGGTGGCTCATGCCTGTAATACCAGCACTTTGGGAGGCTGAGGTGGGCAGATCACAGGTTCAGGAGTTTGAGACCAGCCTTAGCTTACATGGGGAAACCCCCTCTCTAATAAAAAAAATACAAAAATTGGCTGGGCATGGTGGTGTGCTTCAGTAATCTCATCACCTCAGGGGGTTGAGGCAGGAGAATCACTTGAACCCAAAAGGCGGAGGTTGCAGCGAACCAGGATAGCGCCACTGCACTCTAGCCTGGGCAACAGAGCAAGACTCCATCTCAAAAATAAAAATAAAAAAATTGTAGTACCCAAAAATGAATAAAATATCCCAGAAGTATTGCTTTTTCTTTTTTTTGCACATTTTATGAAACAGTTTAACACTCAGAATATATAGTTGACACACATACACTTTTCCTTTGTGGTTTCATGTGTTTATATCTTTCTGGGTCAGTCCTAGTTGCATGCCTACCGTGACTTCCTAGGTATCTGTCTTTAAGAGACTTTAGACAATTACTTTTTGTAATTAATGTTCTTAAAACTGGCTTTGGCTAGAGATTGAAAATATTTTAATGGTGATGGGAAACTGATGTTGAGAGAGTAAAGATTTCAAACAACTTAGCATGACTAGGTATTTCCCTCTGTGACTTAGACTACCAAATCATTAACTCCTGTGATTGTTTGATTACAGTGAATGTTTCATGACTTTTAAAAGTTCTTTTATTTTAATACTGGATTTTTATAAATAGTTAGAAATTTATGCAGGAACATATTGCCAGTATTCTCATGAGGAAACTGAGGCTTGAGAGTCTTGTGATAGAGCTGGTGAGTGGTGAAGTTAGATCTTAAATCGGTTTATTTTCATAGTCAGTTTGGCTTAGTTATTGTCTTTTGGAAAGTAAATTGATGATTTTACAGAGATCAGTGATTTTTCTTCGTAAGTATGTTACAACTTTAGATGCTAAAAGCGCTTTGGGAGGCTGAGGTGGGAGGATCATTTCAACCCAGGAGGCCAAGACCAGCCTGGGTAGCATAGTAAAACTTGTCTCTACAAGAAATTTCAGTGGCTGGGCACACTTTGGGAGGCCGAGGTGGGCAAATCACCTGAGGTAGGGAGTTTGAGACCAGCCTGACCAACATGAAGAAACTCTGTCTCTATTAAAAATACAGTTAGCTCGGCATGGTGGTACATGCCTGTAATCCCAGCTTTTTGGGAGGCTGAGGTAGGATGATTACTTGAACCTGGATGGTGGAGGTTGTGGTGAGCTCTGATTGTGCCATTGTACTCCATCCTGGGCAACAAGTGTGAAACTCGGTCTTTAAAAAAGAAAAAAGAAAAAAATTTCAAAAATTAGTCGGGTGTGATGGCGTGTGCCTGCAGTCCTAGTTACTCAGGAGGCTGAGGTGGGAGATTGGTTGAGCCCAGGAATTAGAAGCTATAATGATCTGTGATTGCATCACTGCACTCCAGCCTGGGTGACAGTTGAGACCCTATCTCTTAGAAAAAAGAAGCACAGCAACAGACTGGGAAAAGTTTTGTAAGAGAAAACAGATTTAATATCCAGTCTATTTAAAATGCTGTTACAGATCAGAAGGAAAATCATTTGTTAGAAGCAAATGTAAAGAATATCACCAGAGGAAATGAGTCACTAATAAGTGAAAAGATGCTCAAACTCCTTGTTAACAGGGAAAATGTAGATTAAGATGACCATTTTCTACCCATGATATTTATAAGAATTTTTAAAAGATGGAAAATAGTGACTGTGGTTAAGGGTATGGGAAAACAGGCACACATTTCTATATACCAGGCGTCCCCAAACTTTTTACACAGGGGGCCAGTTCACTGTCCCTCAGACCGTTGGAGGGCCACCACATACTGTGCTCCTCTCACTGGCCACCAATAAAAGAGGTGTCCCTTCCTTAAGTGCGGTGGGGGGTGGATAAATGGCCTCAGGGGGCCGCATGTGGCCTGTGGGCCGGTTTGGGGACGCCCGCTATATACTGTAAATAGGTTCATCTTTTTTTTTTTTTTTGAAGTCAGTTTGGCCAAACCTACGTTCTACCTAGGCTTCAACCATGTAGTAGGCACATTACATCAACTTAGTTTTTAAGAGATGGTAAGAGGGAGCTGAGAAATTAATGCTAACTTTAAAAAACATAGGTCTAGTAACTGCCGTGTGCTCTGGCTTTCTTTTCTCTTTTATTAAATATTTCTTGAATATTTGTGGAAGCTACTGTATTAATTAGCATTTCCAGTAAATTTTCATTACAACCACCTTGTGAGGTGGCTGTTTTTAACTTCATTTTGCAGATGTGGAAACTTAGGCCAGAAAGATTAAATAACATGACCAAGTTCATTTAGTCAGCAGATGGAAATGCATAAATTGAGCTCTAAAACCGTGACCTTAACCACTGGATCATTAGATAGATAGTAATAATTGACTTGTGATACCCAGCATACCTTAAATCTCACCTCTATTAAAAGGGGTTGTTTTGTTTATATTTTAAAATTTAATACCTTATTTCTTTATTAGTATGCCAGTCTGATCAAAGTGAACCCCTCATTAATGGTATGTGTTTTACTTTTCTCCCCAGAGGATCTGAAGAGGCAAAATGCAGTATTACAAGCTGCACAAGATGATTTGGGACACCTTCGAACCCAGCTGTGGGAAGCTCAAGCAGAGATGGAGAACATTAAGGCGATTGCCACAGTCTCTGAGAACACCAAGCAAGAAGCTATAGATGAAGTGAAAAGACAATGGAGAGAAGAAGTTGCTTCACTTCAGGCTGTCATGAAAGGTAAAGACAAAAAAGATATAGTTTATGATTTTCTAAGCTAAACTGATTCAGCGAATCTTAAAATATATCCAGAGTTTCATTTGTGGTTGTATGTACTGTCATCATCAAGATTTACTTTCAGATGAAAGGGAAGTCACTGATATTATAAATGGATATAAGAGACAGGCTAGTAAAGTCAATGAATAAAGCTGTATGGGCACAGGAAATGTGCTGGACTAGAGAGCTGCCATGCAAAGGGTAAAGTAACTGTTTACATTGATGAGCTTCAGCTAGTTATTGCCCTTCCAATGTAGTCTGGCCATGTGGTTTAGATTTTTTTTGGAGATGGAGTCTTGCTTGTTGCCCAGGCTGGAGTGCAGTGGCATGATCTTGGCTCACTGCAACCTCTGCCTCCCAAGTTCAAGTGATTCTCCTGCTTCAGCCTCCTGAGTAGCTGGGATTATAAGCATGCACAAAATTAGCCTGGCTAATTTTGTGTTTTTAGTAGAGATGGGGTTTCGCCATGTTGGTCAGGCTGGAGTTGAACTCCTGACCTCAGGTGATCCACCCATCTTAGCCTCCCAAAGTGCTGAGATTACAGGCATGAGCCACTGTGCCTGGCCTGATTTAGGTTTTTTGAAAAACTTTGTGTGTGAAATCTTTACTGCACTCTGTGGGGTAGAATGGCTGATGGGCTGGGGTAGGCTTTATGAGCTGCCATCTTACAACCTTTGCTCTAAAAGAAGAGATGCAGTTTAGTCTCTGACTCCTTTTGGCACTAGTGCTTAATTACTTACCAGATTTCTGAGAAGATGATGATGAAATGAAGTAAGTTGTCACTGAATCTTTGGGTTACTGGAATTAGTTAATATTCTAAATGTGAAATATTGATGACTTTTTCCACTGTGTTTGCAATTGTGTGTCATTTTTTGCCTTAATGCTCCTTATAAAAACGCAGATGAAGCTAGCCCTATTTCTGAGTGTGTAGCTATGGCTTAGCCGTTACTCTAGGCTTCATGTAACAAACCTGACTACAGTGGCTTACCAAAATAAGAGTTCATTTTTTTCCCAGAACATGAAGTCCGGAGGTAGATAATCTAGGCCTGGTTGCATTGGTCCCATGATGTCACCAGTGCCTCAAACTCCTTCATCCCTTCTGTTCTTTCATCCCTAGCATATGGCTTTCAGTTTCATCTTTGCCTCAGCTGAAAAATAGCTGCTTCTCCTTGAGTCTGCATCAGAAAAGCAAAAATTTTCTAGAACTGTCTAGCATATCCCCCTCACTTTGTTGACCAAATGTGTGGTCACTCATAACTACAAGGGAAACTAGACAATGTAGTTTTAAAATTGTGCAGTTTGACTTCATAAAAAAAATTGGAGTCTTACTAGTAAGGAAGAAGGAGTAGAAATTAATGGGTAATCAGCAGGATCTGTCAATCAGCAGGATCTGTCAATTTTTTTTTTTTTTTTAATACCTAGGCTTGAGTGCAATTGTACGATCTCAGCTCAATGCAACCTCTGCCCCCTGGGTTCACACCACAGACATGTGCCACCACACCCAGCTAATTTTTCTTTTCTTTCTTTCTTTTTTTTTTTTTTGTTTTGAGACAAAGTCTTACTCTGTTGCTCAGGCTGGTGTGCAGTGATACGATCTAGGCTTACTGCAACCTCTACCCATGTTCAAGCTGTCCTCGTGCATCAGCCTCCCCAGTAGCTGGGATTACAGGCACCTGTCACCATACCTGCGAATCTTTTTAATTTTAGTAGAGATGGGATTTTACCATGTTGACCAAAATGGTCTCAAGCTCCTGACCTTAAGCTATCTGCCTGCCTCTGCTTCCCAAAGTGCTGGGATTAATTTTTCTATCTTTGGTAGAGATGGGGTTTTGCTATGTTAGCCAGGCTGGTCTCGAAATCTTGGCCTCAAGTTATCCACCCGTCTCGGCCTCCCACAGTGCTGGAATTACAGGTGTATGTGAGCCACTGTGCCTGGCCTTATTGTAAGATTATATTAAAGATAAATCCATTTAAAAAAAAAATTTTTTTTTAATAAGACGGGGTTTCACCATGTTGGTTAGGCTGGTCTTGAACTCCTGACTTCAGGTGATCCGTCCACCTTGGCCTCCAGAATGCTTGGATTACAGGCGTGAGCCGCTATTCCCGGCCGATAAAGCCATTTTTTAAAGAACTTATAGAATTTGCCTCAGCTTACAATCTTGGGTTCTAGTAAATTATTCCAGAAATATATCCCTTTTCTCACACTTTGAGGTAGTGGGATTGGGGTGACGTGTATGTTTGCCTTGGGGGCCACAGTATAGTGTCTAAGAACATAGATTTTGGAGTTGGCCTTAAGCTTGAATTCTAGTTTTGCTTTATTCTGGGTGTGAAACATTGGCCAGACTATTTAATCTTTCCTAAGGTTTCCTCATTCATAAAATAATATGTGACACAGGTTTATTGTGAGATTAGAAGTGATGATTTAAAGCCTTTATTTCTGTATATAGTAAGAACTAGAACTAGTTTTGTTTTTTTAGTGAATTAAACATTTTCCAGAAATTAGGCGTAAGCTTTTTATATAACTTTAAAAATTTTAGTGTGTCAGGATTTTTTTTTCATAATGCTTAGATGTGAAATATGTGGTGATGTTTTGTAGAAACAGTTCGTGACTATGAGCACCAGTTTCACCTTAGGCTGGAGCAGGAGCGAACACAGTGGGCACAGTATAGAGAATCCGCAGAGAGGGAAATAGCTGATTTAAGAAGAAGGCTGTCTGAAGGTCAAGAGGAGGAAAATTTAGAAAATGAAATGAAAAAGGTATGAAGGAATGTGTTCATCTGTAGAAATATTTGAATTCAAATGCAAATTGCTTTACTGTTATTGTTGTGTAATAGAAAGTAATAGAAGTACTTTGATATTTTCTGTGAGAGTAATTATTTGGACACCAACCTAAACATAGTACTAAATAATGTGATACCCTTCCCCAGTTATATCTATGGCTAACTCTCATATTCTTCAAATTTTTGATCAAATGTCACTACTTCATGGGGTCTATCCTGACCACCGACCATTTAACATTGCAGCCTGCCAACTTCCCTCTGCCACTGTCACTACTCTCATCTCCCTTATCCTTCTCTAGTGTTTTCTTTCCATCACACATATTTCCTTATAATACTACACAGAGTTCACCTACTGTGTGTTATTGTTTACTGTCTTTCTTTTCTTGCTAAAATATAAGCTCTGTGAAGGCAGGAATTTCTCTTTGTCTCTCTCTTTTTTTAATTGATTCAGGGTACATGTGCTTGTTTTTTATTTGTATATTCTAAAAGCCTAGCATACTGTCCAGGAGATAGGTGCTCAAACTCCTAAATATTAGTTGAATGGGTGTCGTTGCTTGATGATTGTGTCAAAGGAAAGTTTTAGAATAGATGTTAGTTTTCCTTCTTTCTCAGTGTCCTTTGGTTTCTGTATACCACATATTATGTACTACATATGCATGAATATAATACCATATAATACTTGAACATAGGGCAACTAAATGTAAAAGTGAGACATTTTATCATTGAGAAAATATTAAAAGCTTTTTAGGCAGTTAAATGAACTTTTACATTATTTTATATGCATATACATATTTATAATCACATTATATAAAGTAATTAGTAATTGATTTTTTTTTCAATTGAATTTGTTATGGCTTTTTGGTTCCTCATCCTTAGTTCATTCTTCAAATATATGTGTATTTTCATTTTTTAGAACTGTTTACTTGAAAAATTGCAAAGATAGTACATGGTTCCCATGTACTCCATACCTAGTCTCCCGTGTTAATGTTTTACATCAATATGGCACATTTGTCACAGTTAATAAGCCTGTATCAGTTTATTTTTATTAACTCAAGTCCATTTTTGTATTCAGATTGCATTCATTTTTACCTCATGTCCTTTTTTTCTGTTCTAGGATCCCATCCAGGATACCACATTGCATTTAGTCCTGTCTCCTTAGGTTCCTCTTGGCTGTGACAGTTTCTCAAATTTTTCTTGTTTTTAATGACCTTTCTGTCATTTTTAAAGTGCTCTTTAAAGATTTTCGTTTATGACAACATTCAGTACTTGGAATTGTGAAGTCATACTTATATTAATAAATAGCTTGATTTGTGATTAATTCTTTGCTTCCTCTCTCCTTTTTTTTCCTGTTGTTTTTTATCAGATGACCTTTATAAGCAGCCTAAACTAGCCTTGACTGAGATATTTTAATCTAATTTGCCTTTTCCAAATAGTATTCAAAATAATGTAAATGTTGGCTTTGTAAGGACCTGAAAACAAAGTGAATCTGAACCCCTGTTTTTTGAGAGAGATGATTTTTGGGGAAAATCCCCCTCACGTTTGGGCATTTATGATATTTTTCCCTATCATGAACAACTTAGTCCTAAGTTTGCGCTCATTTAAATTTAGTGAATTAGGTTAATTTTCAGTTTCTCTAGAAGGAAAAAAGCTAACTTTTTGTCTGCTTTTTTCTCTCTCTCTCTCTCTCTCTCTCTCTCTCTCTCTCTGTGTGTGTGTGTGTGTGTGTGTGTGAGAGAGAGAGAGAGAGAGAAAGTTTCCAGTTTACTAGTTTATGTAAGTTTGTTCCTTTTAATCCATGTTTCTGAGAATGGACTTTGGAAAACAATGATAGTTTTAAGGGTCATTATCTGAGTTTGTTTCATTTAGATGGTAAAAGTAAAATAATATTTAAAGTATCTGCTTAATTGGATTGAAGCCTTTTTATAGCAACATAATTTTCTAACATTTTAGAAAACATATTCTATTTTGTGTGTTTAAAATCAGCCCTTTAAACAGTCGTAAGAAATTATTGTCTTATGAACTTAGTAACCCAGGAATTTCAAAAATAACCAGGAGTTTAAAAAATTATTTATTAAAAAAAATTATTATGTGTATTTTCCTTTATATATGGGGTATTTTCTTAATTGATTAAGAAGTCAAATTTGTTACAGTGAATTCATTTTCCCATTTATTCCCAAATTCTAAATGGAATATTTGGGAAAACTTTGATTATGACTTCACATTCAAAGTAATGCACTACTTGAAAGTTAGACATGAATTCAGTTTTGTGAATGTTAATATAGTGCCTGGTTGAGTTACTTGTTATACTAATTTTTAGCAAATGGAAGGGTCAGAGTTTCCTAGAAAAGTAGTAAATGAATAAGTCGTAGCATTCAATTCTTTTTAACCATAGGCCCAAGAGGATGCTGAGAAACTTCGATCTGTTGTGATGCCGATGGAAAAGGAGATTGCAACTTTGAAGGATAAACTGACAGAGGCTGAAGACAAAATTAAAGAGCTGGAGGCCTCAAAGGTTGTGAAACAATGTAATCCATTTGCTTGAAATCCAAGATTCTGCCCTAATGCCATGAACAAAATTAGAATCAGTAATACGGGAAAGAAGACTGTAATTTAGACCATGCATCTTAAGAATCTTTCTTTAAAATGCAAAAAACTGCTTTGGGATAGTTTTGCTCTTATGGTCACTTAAAATAATCGCAATAAGCGTGTTTTATCACAAGCGCTGCTTTGTTGCAAAGTTAGTGTTCATTTTCTTAAGAAAATGAGACCCTGTCTCATTCCTTTTCCTGTTAAGGAAAATAAACTGCTCAAAGTTGACCTTATTTTCTGAAGCTCCAGGATTGATCTTTTAGAGATAATGTGGCTATAGTATTGGTGAATTTGTTGGCCATAAAGACACAGCAAAGGGATTAAAGTAGGAACAGGCTAGGTGTGTTGGCTCACGCCTGTAATCCCAATACTTTAGGAAGCCAAGGCAGAATTGCTTGCACCCAGGAATTTAAGACCAGCCTGGGCAACATAATGTGTTCCTGTCTCTACAGAAATGTTTTTTAAAATTAGCCAGACATGGTGGTGCATGCCTGTTGTCCTATCTACTTGAGAGACTGAGATGGGAGGATTGCTTGAGCCAGGAGTTTGAGACTGTAGTGAACTAGTAGCACTCCAGATTGGGTGACAGAGTGAGACCCTGTCTCAAAACAAAACAAAACAAAACAAAAGAAGCAATGAAAAAAATAAAAGCAGTATAAAAATAAATGGGAATTTGTCAATAATCTTGGTCAATGTAAACTGATGCCTATGTTTAAAAGAGATTATCACATTGGATTGTAAAAATCTAACTTTATATTACTTATAAGAGCTATGCCTGAAATCAAACAACAAGGTAAGATTGAAAATATTAGCTGGGCATAGTGGTGTGTGCTTGTGGTCTCAGCTACTTGAGAGGCTGAGATGGGAGAATTACTTAAACCCAAAAGGTTGAGGTTGCAGTGAAATGTGATCATGCTGCTGCACTCCAGCCTAGGTGATACAGTGAGACTCTGTCTTAAGGGAAAAAAAAAAAAGAAAAAAAAAGAAGGCTGGGCACAGTGGCACACACAAATAATCCCAGCACTTTGGGAGGCCTAGGTGGATGGATCATCTGAGGTCAGGAGTTTGAGACCAGCCTGGCCAACATGGCGAAGCCCCGTCTCTACTAAAAATACAGAAATTAGCCCGGCGTGGTGGCATGTGTCTGTAGTCCCAGCTGCTCAGGAGGCTGAGACAGGAGAATCGCTTGAGCCCGGGAGGCGGAGGTTGCAGTGAGCTGAGATCGCGCCACTGCACTCCAGCTTGAGTGACGGAGCGAGATTCCATCTAACATAATAATAAAAGAAAAAAGATTGAAAATAAAGGGATAAAAATAGACAGTGTCAATTCTAACGAAAAGAGAGCTGATATAGCAAGTATAGTATCACAAAGATAGGATAAGGGAAAAAAATCACTAATAAAGAAGGATCCTATCTAATAAACAGTTCGTCAGTAAGATATAATAGGCATGAACTTGAATGCACCTTCCATAGTCATGAAATGCATGAACCAGGAATGACAATTATAAGGAGAAACTGACTTTCACAAATCTAGTAGTAGATTGAAATTGACCTTTAGGGAATGCAATCAGAAAAAATTATTAGAGCTATAGGCATTTTGAACTGTCAGGTTAATAATTTAAATGTAGTGGACACACAGAGAACTCTGTACTCAAGAAGGAGGTGGTACCTTATACAGTACTAGAACATAATCGTTAAGAAGCTCAGCATTTAGTAGCCTGTGTTACCTTGGGCAAATTACTTAATCATACTGTGCTTTGATTTTCTCAACTGTAAAATGGGGATAATAAGCCCACCTACCTTATACAGCTATTATGAGGAACATATAAATTAATACCTATAAACATTTAGGATAGTACATGTGACAAGCTATAGTTATTTTTAGATCCATTATCTTAGAATCGAGGTTATACAGACCCAGTTCTGTAACTACGGGTTAGTCAGTTATTTACATTCAAATGATAGTTAAAATGCCTGGACATCAAAAAAATACTCATGAAAAAAGTAATTACAAAATATGTATAATGATGTGAATGTCTAATGCCAGATCTTTAAAAAACAAGTACAAATTGAAAATCAATGGAAAGAAATAATATAAATAATAGCAGAAATTTGTGAAATAGAAAAGCAAAAGAACAATAGAGACTATCAACATAATGAATTAATAGAACAACTAATGCTACAGACAAATCTCTAGTAAGACTGTTCAGGAAAAATGAAAACAACAAAAAAAAGGCAAGTCAGAAGTGAGGCCAAGTGTGGAGACTCATACCTGTAATCCTATCACTTTGGGAGGCTGAGGCAAGAGCCCAGAAGGCCAGGAGGTTGAGGCTGTGGTGAGCCATGGTGGCACTAGTGCACACCAGCCTGGGCAAGGGAGCCTGTTTCAAAAAGGAAAAAAAAAAAAAAAAAAAAGCAGAAAACAGACACATAACTACAAATCAGTAGAAATTTAAAATAACAAATGTTATGAACAGTCATACAAATAAATTTGAAAATAGATTAAATGAAAAAGAATTCTAATAAAAGATAGTCAAAATTGTTCCAAAACAGGAAAGCTAAGATATTAAAGAAAGTGGATCTACAGTAAAAAATCTTACTGTCTCTTGTCTCCTCTCACCAAAAGACATTAAACTATTGGTTTTACAGGTAAGTTTTTCCAGACTTTCTGGAAAGAAAGAATTTTCTTATATTTTATAAACTGTCAGGGAATAGAAAAAGAGAAAGCTTTCCAGCTCATTTTAGGACACTAGCAGATCTTCACTACAAATGAACAAACACTTAGGTAGTAGGGGAAAAAATTATAGATCTTTCTCAGGAATACAGAAGCTAAAATTTTCAACATTGTAGCTAAAATAAAGGGGGGAGAAATACATCATGACCAAGTAGGATGTATTCCCAGGAATTTATCAGAAAAATCTATTATTGCAATGTACACATAAAATGATTGTAGAGGAAATGTATTCATCTTGGATTCAGAAAAGTATTTGAGAAATTTAACCACAAAATAACTTAGTTAAAGGGCAATTTATCAAACCTTTAGCAAACATAGTTAAGGATGAATGTTTAGCAGCCTTACCATTAATGATGGGAACATTATAGGGCAGACCCATGCTCAGTAATTCAGAAATGAGGCATAAGAACTGGAAAGAAAGCAATGAGACTGATTTTATTGTGTAAAGAAACCAGAGAATGTACAACAGATTGTTAGACCTATTGAGAGTTTAACAGTTTGAAAGTTATTCCAGCAAAATTAACGTACAAAAATATTGTTTTTCTATGCCCTAGTAATACCCAGTTGAAGAATGTAGTGGGAGAAAAGATTGATTCTATTCACAGAGTTAAAAAAAATAAAAATAGTTACCTACCAATACAGCTAAACAAAGATGGGCAGAGTCTTTATAGACTACATTATAAATGAAGACCTGAATCTATGTATTTTCCTGAATGAAAAGATAAGAGCATTGGGCCAGGCACAGTGGCTTATACCTTTAATCCCAGCACTTCGGGAGGCCAAGGCGGGCGGATCATCTGAGATTAGGAGTTCGAGACCAGCCTGACCAGCATGGCGAAACCCCATCTCTACTAAAAGTAAAAAATTAGCCGGGTGTGGTGGTGGAAGCCTGTAATCCCAGCTACTCAGGAGGCTGAGGCAGGAGAATCACTTTAACCTGGGAGGTGGAGGTTGCAGTGAGCCGAAGTCATGCCATTGCACTTCAGTCTGGGCGATAGAGTGAGACTCCATCTCAAAAAAAAAGAAAAAAGAGCATTATAAAGTAGACATTGTATCTCCAAATTAATCTTTAAATTTCACTCAGAATTCAACAGTGTTTAGTAAGGAACTTGATAATTCAGTTCTAGAAGTCGACTTCATATAGAGAAGTAAACGAACAGAAATATACTTAGCAAAATTTTGAAGACAAGATGTGGAGACTTGGCTTACCTATCAGATGGTAGGACTGCAGTAAAGTTACTATAATTAAGATAGTTTGTTACTGGTTTAGGGATAAACAAATGGGCCAATAAAACAGAATAGAAAGCCCAGAAATAGACCCATATATATGTGTAAATTTGATATATGACAGGTGGCATTACTAATCAGTGGGGGAAGAATGGATTGTTAAAAAATACCCTTTTTGGCTGGGTGTGGTGGCTCATGCCTGTAATCCCAGCATTTTGGGAGGCCAAGGCAGGTGGATCACCTGAGGTCAGGAATTCGAGACCAGCCTGGCCAACATGGTGAAACCCTATCTCTACTAAAAATACAAAAATTAGATGGGTGTGGTGGTGGGTGCCTATAATCCCACGTACTTGGGAGGCGGAGGCAGGAGAATCACTTGAACCAGGGAGGCAGAGGTTGCAGTGAGCCAAGATTGCACTCCATTGCACTCCAGCCTGGACAACTAGAGCAAAACTGTGTCTCAAAAAAAAAAAAATTTTTTTTTTTTCTGGCCAGGTGTGGCTGTAATTCTAGCACTTTGGGAGGCTGAGATGGGCAGATTGCTTGAGCTTAGGGGTTCAAGACCAGCTTGCACAACATAGTGAAACCCTTTCTCTGCAAAAAATATAAAAGTTAGCCAGATGTGGTGGTATATGCCTGTAGTCCAAGCTACTCAGGTGACTGAAGCACAAGAATCACTTGAACCCAGGATGTGGAAGTTGAAATGAGCCAAGATTACACCACTGCACTCCAGCCTGGGTGACAGGTTTATTCCTAAACCAGTAACAAGCTGTTTTAATATAGTAGCTTTATTGTAAGTCTTATTATCTGATAGGTAGGCCAAGTCTCTCCACCTTGTCATCCTCAAAAAGATTTCTTTTTTTTTTTTTGAGACGGAGTCTTGCTCTGTCAGCAAGGCTGGAGTGCAGCAGTGTGATCTTGGCTCACTGCAACCTCCTCCTCCCAGGTTCAAGTGACTCTCTTGCCTCAGCCTCCTGAGTAGCTGGGATTATAGACACCCACCACCATGCCCAGCTAATTTTTGTATTTTTAGTAGAGACAGGGTTTCGCCATATTGGCCAGGCTGGTCTCAAACTTCTGACCTCAGTTGATCTACCCACCTCAGCCTCCCATTGCTTGATTACAGGTGTGAGCCAATGTGCCTGGCCCAAGATGTCTTAAATAAGACAAAATATTGACTGTGAAAGGAAAACTGGCAAATTTAGCTACATTATAATATAAATGGCTTTGTTAAAAGATGCTATTAATACAAAAAGTTGAAAAGAGAAGCTACAGACTATGAGAAGGTATCTGTACCTCATACCTGACAAAGTGTTAATATCCAAAATAATGAAAAATTGCTAAATTGGCTGGATGTGGTGGCTCACACCTGTAATTCCAGCACTTTGGGAGGCCAAGGCAGGCAGATTGCCTGAGACCAGGAGTTTCAGACCAGCCAGGGTAACATGGAGAAACCCTGTCTCTACTAAAAATACAAAAATTAGCTGGATGTGGTGGTTCATGCCTTATAATCCCACGTAGTTGGGAGGCTGAGGCACAAGAATTGCTTTAACCCAGGAGATGGAGGCTGCAGTGAGCTAAAACTCAGTGGCAAAAACAATTGCCAAGTCAACAAGTGACAAATAATTCTAAAGATAAACAGGGAAAGTATATCCAGGTGTCATGGCGCATGCCTGTAATCCCAGCTATTTGAGAGGCTGAGGCACAAGAATTGCTTGAACCCAAGAGGCAGAGGTTGAGGTTGCAGTAAGCCAAAATTGTGCCACTGCACTCCAGCCTGGGTGACAGGGCGAGACTGTCTCAACAAAAAAAAAAAAAAAAAGGAAAAACTGATAAAGTGTATGAACAATCAGTTCACAGAAGAGGAAATCAGAATAGTCAAGGAATGAGAAAAGATATTCAACCATACTAGAAATTGGGGAACTGTAAATCTAAGTGGGACATCATTTTACCCTAACCAGGTTGTAAGTATTACAGACGAATTTGTCACATTCACCCTCTATTGGTGTATGTGAAACTCTTCTGCTTAAGCCCCTATTGTCAAATTGTGCCCCCAGTTGAGTGTTTTTGGTTTCTCATGACCTTCGTTGCTTCTGTACTTTCTCCTGTATAGATCCTGATACCACGTATATTTTTCTGAATAGGTAGCTTTCAGTGATTTGTTTGTACCCTCTCCTGTTACCTGGCTTTTTGTAGATGTCTATTTGTTTTTGGTTTGGGTCATTACAGGGTATGGAACTCAAGGTAATTCAAATACTATGTCATTACTGCCATCGTCTTCCCAGGTGATGTAATCTCTGCTCACTGCAACCTCCACTTCTCAGATTCAAGTGACTCTCCTGCCTCAGCCTCCCGAGTAGTTGGGATTACAGGCACCAATCATCATGCCTAGCTAATTTTTGTATTTTTAGTAGAGACGTGATTTCGCCATGTTGGCCAGGCTGGTCTTGAACTCCTGATGTCAGGTGATCCACCCGGCTCGGCCTCCCAAAGTGCTGGGATCACAGGCGTGAGCCACTGTCTCTGGCCCAAGATTTCTTAAATAAGACAAAAATATTGACTGTGAAAGGAAAACTTGCAAATTTAGCTACATTTAGTTCAGTGGTGCAGTCTCGACTCACTGCAGCTTTTGTCTCCCAGGTTCAAGCAATTCTTGTGCCTCAGCTTTCCAAGTAGCCGAGATTACAGGCATGCACCACCATGCCTGCGTAGTTTTTGTATTTTTAGTAGAGAGAAGGTTTTTCCATGTTGCCCAGGCTGGTCTCAAACTCCTGGTCTCAAGCAATCTATTTAGTAGTTTTCAAATATTAGAAATTCATTATAAATTAAACCAAATGTTTATTTCCAAAAGTAATAACTGGTAGAATTAGTGGGTTATATACCACCATTTTAAATCTGCCATACGGACTCTTTTGACTATCAGCTGAATTACTCCTGTCTTCAGATGTTAGAGAAAGTATTTCACAATAGTTGGCACTTTACCGTTCTTTGTTCATATAATGTGCTAGGCTGACAACCTTCAGTGAAGCATCAAATGATTGCTTAAGTAGTCACTTAAATCTTTGACTATTATTGCATGATGGCCTGGGAGTAAAGATAACTGAAAACAGATAAACTATTTTAAATTTGAAGTAGAAATACAAACAGCATGAAAAGGACCTCGAATGTGATACTATATATAACCCTTTAAAAAAGTTGAAAATTAACTAGTGTTAGAATTTAGAATGAACAATTTATATGACAGTCTAAAGTGACACAGTCTTTGATTTTCTAGCGAAGAATTGCATTATTATTATTTTTTTGAGACAGAGTCTCCCTCTGTCTCCCAGGCTGGAGTGCGGTGGTGCCATCTCAGCTCACTGCAACCCCCGACTCCCGGGTTCAAGTGATTCTCTTGCCTCAGACTCTTGAGTAGCTGGGATTACTGGCGGGTGCCACCATGCCCGGCTAATTTTTTAAATTTTTTTATTTTTAGTAGAGATGGGGTTTCACCATGTTAGCTAGGATGATCTCAATCTCCTGACCTTGTGATCCACCTGCCTCAGCCTTCAAAGTGCTGGGATTACAGGCATGAACCACCATACTTGGTCGGCAATTTTTTTTTTTTTTTTTTTTTGGTTATAACTTTCCTGTATTAGACAGTATTGTTAATATTTTGAGTATTATACTTAATTGATCAAAAGAAATAAAGAATTTTTTAAAAGATACGGTTTTATTTTATTTTTTGGAAACAGTATCTTGCTCTGTCTCCCAGGCTGGAGTGCAGCAGTGCAGTCATGGCTCACTGCAGCCTCAACCTCCTGTGCTCAAGTCATCCTCCCACATCAGCCTCTGGAGTAGCTGGGATTGTAGGTGTACGCCATGATGTCTAGCTAATTTTTAAATTTTTTGTAGAGACAGGATTTCTCCATGTTTCCCAGGGTGATCTCAAACTCCTGATCTCAAGCGTTCTGACCACCTTTGCCTCCCAAAGTGTTGGGATTACAGGCATGAGCCACCACGCCTGGGCAAGATATGATTTTAAAATGTATTCTGCGCTTACCTTTAAGTCATTACCGTGTGAAACTAGTTACTTGTTCCATCATAACTTTCTCTTTTTTACTTCCATAAATATACGTATCTGTGAAAATGTCTTCTTTTTTTGCATTTAATGCATTTGGAATTCCCTCACCAGAAATCAAAGGAAAGCAAACTTAGAAGTGTATGGTATCATTTTTGTCCTTAGAAATTAACTACTGATTTAAAAAAACAAAACATACCTTGTGTTACTGTTATAGGTAAAAGAGATACATGCATATGGGAATACAAATTAGAACTGCCTTTTTGAAAAGCAAGGGACAAAACTGTCATGTGTAATTTCAATTGCATATTTTATTCAGGTGGTATAATTATGGATAACATCTATTAATTATGCTATTTTCCCAGTTTTCTATAATAAGTACATATTTGTTTTTATAATTAAAAATTATAAATATTAACTTACGTAGATGTAACATGTAGACGTAAAAGTAAGTGTAAATTTTTTTAAGGCATGGCCAGAACTTACCATCATTTTGTACCTAAGATATAAACTTGTAAATTTCAGTTTAATAGAATTGCATCTTCTTTCAGGTTAAAGAACTGAATCATTATCTGGAAGCTGAGAAATCTTGTAGGACTGATCTAGAGATGTATGTAGCTGTTTTGAATACTCAGAAATCTGTTCTACAGGAAGATGCTGAGAAACTGCGGAAAGAACTGCATGAAGGTAAATATATATTCTGTATATTTTTATCTTAATCTCTAAGAACCATATAAGTTAAATTGATGTTGATTAATAACAATGACAGATCTTAAAATAACAGTGTAGTGCATTAGTGATTCAGTTTAAGCTTTGTAGTTGGTTTAAATGTACTCACGAAAAGCTGAAATTATGGTTTCTTTTTGCTTCATGACCTCAGTAATAACCTCATAAGGCACCTGGGTGCAGTGGCTCTCAATCCTATAATCCCAGCACTTTGGGAGTTCTAGGCAGGAGGATCACCTGAGGTCAGGAGTTCGAGACCAACCTGGCCAACATGGCGAAACCTTGTCTCTACTGAAAAAACAAAAATTATCCAAGCATGGTGTCACGTACCTGTTATCCCAGCTGCTTGGGAGTTTGAGGCATGAGAATTGCTTGAACCCAGGAGGCGGAGGTTGCAACATTGAGGTGAGATCACACCACTGCACTCCAGCCTGGGGAATATAAGGAAGGTTTGTCTCAAAAATAACAAAAACAAAAAACCCACCAACTTCACAAGGCGTGAGCTCTAAAAGAAAGATAATAAAGCAAGGAATTTCTGCTTAAACTGCTTTACCCTCCCCACCCCCAACTCATTTTGATGGAGCTGTATTAGCAAAAGTGAGAATGGAAGAGGACAGAGAGTGTATTCTGGAGGCCCTAAGTTACAGACGGTTTTTCTATTTTTCTTTTTAATCGCTACCTCAAGTATTTTACTTGGTAAGTTACATACTGTTTTTAAGGGACAATTTTGATTTCACTAGTCTGGTAGCAGAATGATACATAAATTGACTCTATTTTCCAGCGGTGCATTCTTTCCCCACTAAAACATACTTTTGGCTGGGTGCAGTGGCTTATGCCTGTAATTCAAGCACTATGGGAAGCCGAGGTAAGCAGATCATTTGAGGCCAGGAGTTTGAGACCACCCTGGCCAACACTGCGAAACGCCATCTCTACTAAAAATACAAAAATTCTCCAGGCATGGTGGTACACACCTGTAGTCCCAGCTACTCAGGAAGCTGAGGCAGAAGAATCACTTGAACCAGGGAGGTAAAGGTTGCAGTGAGCTGAGATCACAGCACTGCACTCCAGCCTGGGCAACAGAGTGAGAGACTGTCTTATAAAACAAAACTATGTAGATACACACACACAGACACCCACACACACAGATACACACTTTTATCTTCAGTTCTTCTAGTGATTTCTATATACCTGGAGCTCTTAACCTTTTTATGTCATGAGTTCCTTTGGCAATCTTGTGAAACCCTTTCACAGTAATGTTTTTAATACATAAAATATATAAGATTACAAAAAAACCCAATTATATTATAAAATTTACCAAGATGTAAAAAACATCAAACTTAAAGTAATAAATGTGCTAGTTCATTAAATACATTAAATAAGTTCTAGCAGCAGGTTCAATAACTACTGCCATTTTAAAGTGGCGATAAGCATAAATAACACTAAGATATCTGTAACTGAAATGAAATATGAAAATATCTGATTTCCATTAGTGACCAAGTCATAGGTATTGTTAAGCTGCTGTGGCTTTTTTGCCTGCATTTTATAATTAAAGCAAATGATAAATTTCAGTTAGGAGATTGTAAAAATAAAGATGTAGCTTTTTTTTTCATCCAAATGTATGGACTCCTTGAATTCTTACTGTTGCTACAGGTTGTAGTAGTAAAACATATTTTAGTATCAGGATTAGGACTGTGGTGATCGAGTCCTACTATGAATACTTTTAAGTATATCAAATAGTGTGGGAAATATAGCTATAAATAATTCAAATTTGCATATGAGTTATTTTCCAAATAGTGGAAAGCTGAAATGATACAAGTCTATGGAATTACTTCATAAAATACTATGAAAATAACCCAAACCACCTGCAGTTTTGGCCTTCAGGAAACAGTTTCCAAATGTGCTATTGCAGAAAAAAGACTCATATTCTTTTTTTTTTTGAGACAGAGTTTCACTTTCGTTGCCCAGCCTGGAATGCAATGGCATGATCTCAGCTCACTGCAACTTCTGCCTCCTGGGTTCAAGTGATTCTTCTGCCTCAGCCTCCCAAGTAGCTGGGATTACAGGCATGTGCCACCATGCCCAACTAATATTTTGTATTTTTAGTAGAGATGGGGTTTCTCCATGTTGGTCAGGCTGATCTTGAACTCCCGACCTCAGGTGATCCTGATCTGCTCACTTTGGCCTCCCACAGTTCTGGGATTACAGGCGTGAGCCACCGTGCCCGACCAACACTCACATTCTTAAAGGTGTCCAAAATAACTAGTTCAGTTTAAATTATGTCCCTCCAACACTTAGTTATTGAGACTACCAAACCTTCTTAATAAACCTTGAAAAGTATCTGAGAAGATTAATTAAAATGAGGAAGAAGACTGGGTAATTTCCATACTGAAACACTCACACCAGACAATAGTCTTGAAATGAAAAGAAAACATAAAAACCCAGCAGTGGCTGGGCATAGTGGCTCATGCCACCGTGCGAGGCTGAGGTGGGCAGATCACCTGAGGTCCGGAGTTTAAGACTAGCCTGACCAACATGGAGAAACCCTGTCTCTACTAAAAATAGAAAATTAGCTGGGTGTGGTGGCGCATGCCTGTAAACTCAGCTACTCAGGAGGCTGAGGCAGGAAAATTGCTTGAACCCGGGAGGTGGATGTTCCGGTGAGCCAAGATTGCACCATTGCACTCCAGCCTGGCAATAAGAGTGAAACTGCATCTAAAAAATAAATAAATACCAGCAGCAGTGTAACTTATAGCCTAAATTAGGAATTAGTCATACAACCAAATTAATACAATTGCATATTATTTGTGCTGTGCTTGGAAGTGTGTTAGGATTCAGCAGTGCCACCAATGGAGTGGTCAGTTCTTTTTGTCCCAGGAACAGGTAGGCTTCTTAAAAGAAGTTGTTCTTAAGTGGAGTTTTCGAAGGTGGGTAGGGGCTTGTCAGGTAGTCAGAGAGAAGCGTGACATTAAAAGCCATTTGCATGTGTTCTAGCTAGGTAAGAAAATCTAAGAAAAGCAGTTCAGCACGATTAGAATACAGGAGACAATGGGCAAAATGTGAGGTTGGAGCAGTAGACACAGGCTAGGACATGGAGGTCTTAATGCTAAGAATGTCAGACTTTATCATATGGGCAGTTTGGAGCCTCTGTAGGTTATTTTCTCTTAAATAACAGTTTTATTGAGATAAAATTTGTGTTCCATAAAGTTCACTCGTTAAAGTATACAATTCAGTAGTGTTTTTTTCTTTTTGAGACAGAGTTTCCCCCTTGTTGCCCAGGCTGTAGTGCAGTGGCACAATCTTGGCTTGCTGCAACCTCCAGGTTCAAGTGATTCTCCTGCCTCGGCCTCCTGAGTAACTGCGACTACAAGCATGCACCACTACGCCTGGTTAATTTTTGTATTTTTAGTAGAGACAGGGTTTCACCATGTTAGCCAGGCTGGTCTTGAACTCCTGACCTCAGGTGATCTGCCCGTCTCAGCTTCCTAAAGTGCTGGGATTACAGGTGTGAGCCACCACACCCAGCCTAGTAGTTTTTTAATATATTTACAAAATTGTGCTTCATCATCACTGTCTAATTACAAAACATTTTCATTACCTCAAAAAGAAATCTGGTACCCATTTACAGTCACCTCCTGTGTCTCTGCCTCCAACCCTTGGCAACCACTAATCTACTTTCTTTTTCTTTTTTTTTTTTCTTTTGAAATGGAGTCTCACTCTGTCGCCCAGGCTGGAATGCAGTGGTGTGATCTCAGCTCACTGCAACCTCTGTCTCCCGGGTTCAAGCAATTCTCTGCTTCAGCCTCTTGATTAGCTGGTATTACAGGCACCTGCCACCATGCCTGGCAAGTTTTATATTTTTAGTAGAGACGGGATTTCACCGTCTTGTCCAGGCTGGTCTTAAACTCCTGACCTCAGGTGATCCACCCACCTGGGCCTCCCAAAATACTGGGATTACAGGTCTGAGCCACCACGCCTGACCTCTACTTTCTATCTCTGTGGACTTGCCTATTCTGGACTTTGATATGAATGGGATTTTATAGTATGTGCCTTTTTGCGTTCTGGCTTCAGTGAAGGGTTTTAGACTGGAGAGTGGTAATATCAGTTTTGCATTTTAGAAAGTTCAATCTGATAGCACTGTGGTGAATAGAATAGGGAGGGCAAGACTGAGGGCAAAAGAATAATAAAGGGACCTCTGTTGTGTTAAGTCATACGTGCTAATCAAAGGCAGAAGCCAGAAGATAGATGTATCATATTGCAGAGGAGGCAGAATTAGCAGATCTCTGTCGTAGTTAAATATGTTGGGGTAAGGAAAAGTCAGAAGTATGAGTTGTCTCAGGTTTCTGGCTTGGGTGGCTTGGTAGATGGGTGGATAGAACATCTCTTTTCAGTAGTAGATGGCTGAGCTGATGAGTATCAACAATGCATGCATTTTACAAAGACTCCTTGACTTGTCGTAAGAAGTCTATATTAACCGGAACCAACGAGGATTTCTGGATAATAAATTTATCAGAATGTATTAAACACGATTAGGAGTGGTTATTCCCCCTTTGGCCTTTGGAGCAGTGTTTCCCAAAGTATGTTCCCTTGAATACTTGTTATTTGAGTTGTACTGTGGAATTTTTTTTCTTTTGTCAAATAAATTTGGGAAAGCTGTATTATATATCAACTTCCAAGAAAACATAGACATGATTAAGACTCTGAGTTCAAAGTCCTGCAGTAAAGAAACCTTTAAACATTTATTTAATTATGGAGGAGCCTTTGCAAAATAATAATAAATTTCTCCCTTTAACTTGAAGTTTCTGAGACTTACTAAGCACAAAAGTCTTTCTTTGCTGTGTTCCTAGGAGTACACTTTGGGAGACTCTGCTTTAAAGAGATGGTGTGGGGATAGGTTGCCCCTTGGTCCAGCCAAGGACAGAATCCTAGACATGTGGGCCATTGGCCAGACCTAAACAATTTCTGTGCTAAAGAAATTGCCTACCATTAAAATACAGTGTTTTTGATTTGTGGTGGGGGGTTCCTAAACAGTTTGCCATCTCTTGGAGCAAGAGCGACAACAACACAACCAGTTAAAACATACGTGGCAGAAGGCCAATGACCAGTTTCTGGAATCTCAGCGTTTACTGATGAGAGACATGCAGCGAATGGAGATTGTGCTAACTTCAGAACAGCTCCGACAAGTTGAAGAACTGAAGAAGAAAGATCAGGTGAATAGAAGTTTTATGGGACTGATTTGCTTTGTTAGTAATGTCTCCCACCACATGTTAGTAAGGTCCCCACCACAATGCACCACTGCATTATGAATATTAAGATTGACTTAAGCTGAAACAAGGGTGATGTATGCCAGTTTAAAAAACATAATAGCTATATTTGGGGGGTTTTGTTTTTCATCTTTAGAAATGGCCTTCTCTGGGAGGAAAAACTGATTTAGAAATGATCTTCAGTGAGTACAGGATGCAGCAGTGCATATTTCTGAGAAAATCTTTCTCTACCGTGCTGACCAGTTCTCCTAGTACTCCTGAGTGTTGTCAGTCCAGGCCAAGTCTTTGGTGACATTGCTCTAAAACAGGCTTGTCCAGCCTGCAGCCCTTGTCTCTGAATGCAACCGAACACAAATTTGTAAACTTTCTTAAAACATTTGCAATCCTTTTTTTTTTTAACCTTATCAACTATCACTAAGTGTTAGTATATTTTGTGTGCAGTCTTCAATGTGGCCTAGGGAAGCCAACAGATTGGACACCCTGCCCTAAAAGCTCTACTAGGTGGCATGATACGGATGAGAGGCTGAGTAACAGGAAATGGCAGGTGTTCAGAGTGCTGCATATTCAAGTTCCTGTTTCCTCTTTATCTTTTAGTTATTTAAATTGCATAAGTAATACACACATACACATACACACACACACACATGCACATTCTCACAATATTTTTATTTTAAATACAAAGTGAAAAAAATATATAAAATGATCAAGTGTAAAATCGTCCTTAATATCTCCACACCTCCCTGTCTCAGAAGATTGCCTTTACTGTTTGGCAGAGAGTCTTCTAAACCAGTTCTGTGTGTTCATGAGTGTTTATTTAGGGTGTCATTTTTCCTCTTTTTATTTTATATATATATATAATAATTATTATTTTTTTTAAGACGGGGTTTCACCATGTTGGTCAGGCTGGTCTTGAACTCCCGACCTCAGGTGATCCACCCGCCTTGGCCTCCAAAGTGCTTGGATTATAAGCATAAGCCATCATGCCCGACCATCCTCTTACACAACTGTAGTTATAAGTATTTATTCTAGGCAGGACTTGGTGGCTCACATCTGTAATCCCAGTACTTCGGGAGGCTGAGGCAGGAGGATTGCTTGAGCCCAGGAGGTCAAGACCAGCCTGGGTTATGTAGTGAGACTCCGTTTCTACAAAAAATTTTTAAAAATTAGCTGGGCATGGTGGTAGGTGCCTATAGTTCCAGCTGCTTGGGAGGCTGAGGTGGGAGGATCACTTAATCTGGGAGGCAGAGGCTGCAGTGAGCTGTTAGCACATCACTGCACTTTAGCTGTGGGTGACAGAGCAGGACCCTATCTCAAAAAAAAAAGCATATACATTTTCCATTAGCATTATCCTGGACATATTTTCATGTCAAAGTTGTATTTTGTGCTTGACTTTAGCATGGTTGTACCATATTGATTTGCCCTTTCTCCTTGTAGTGAGCATGTAGGTATTCCCCCCCCCCCCCTTTTTTATTATCTCAAATAATGTTACAGCTAAATCTTGGACCATGTTGTGTATGTGTACAGATATTTCCCTAGGATAGCTATGTAAAAGTATTCACTGCCTTTCTAAGTATCTTGCAAAACATTTCAAATTGCTTTATGTGACTTAGGTTAGATTTTGTTTTGCAAAGTTTCTTCTTTTTAAAATTCCTTTTTGTCACTTAATTTGGACTCATTTATTGTGTGTGTGTGTGTGTGTGTGTGTTTTCTTTTTTGAGACAGGGTTTTACTCCAGTCACCCAGGCTTGAGTGCAGTGGCACAATCTTGGCTCACTGCAACCTCTGCCCCCAGGCTCAAGCGATTCTCCTATCTCAGCCTCCTGAGTAGCTGGGACCATAGGCGTGTGCCACTGTGCCTGGCTAATTTTTGTATTTTTAGTTGAGCATGTTTTGTATGTTTAGTTGACAGGATTTCACCATGTTGGCCAGGATGGTCTCAGACTCCTGACCTCAAGTGATTCGCCTGTCTTGGTCTCCCAAAGTGCTGGGATTACAGATGTGAGCCACCATGCCCCACTGCCATAAAATTTTAGATTCTAAAGTACAGATCTTATCCTACCTACTCTGATGCCCATTAAAAGAGTCTAAACTTGATGTGGCCTGGTGGCTCACACCTGTAATCTCAGCACCTTGGGAGGCCGAGGCAGGTGGATCACCTGAGGTCAGGAGTTTGAGACCAGCCTGGCCAACATAGCAAAACCTTGTCTCTACTAAAAATACAAAAATTAGCTGGGCGTGGGGGCACACGCCTGTAGTCCCAGCTACTTGGGAGGCTGAGGCAGGAGACTTGCCTGAGGTGGAGGTTACAGTGAGCCGAGATCGCACCACTGCTCTCCAGCCTGGGTGACCAAGTGAGACTGTCTCAAAAAAAAAAAAAAAAAAAAAGAGTCTAAACTTAAGATGATCATTTAAAACCTTTGAGCTCTTACTATGTGCTAGCATTGTGCTAAGGCTTTATGTGTAAACTTTTATCTCAGTTGGTTATCAAAAAAACAACTTTCCATAAACAGTAAGGACTACAATTATACAGTTCCTGTGTTCTAGATGAGTAAACAGGCTGAGAGGTCGGGCAGGGCCCATATGAGGCTTGAACAATCTCTGATTCCAGAGTCTAGGTGCTTACTCACCACCTCTTTCTCCATGTCCTTTACTTCTCATGTACCTGCCCATTTTTCATTTATATCAAATTATACAGAATTCCTCCACAGGGCTGCTTTTCCATGTTTCTGTCTTTTGTATGTGCTTCCTTTCTCCCTAGAACCCTTAATTGTCTCTTCTCATTCAACTGGCAAACTGATCTTACTGATCTTTCACAATTCAGCTGAAGTGTTACCTCCTTTGGGTCGCCTTTGCTGGCTCCTTCAGTGTTTTTCTCCTTCTTTAGAACCTTGTGCATACTTGTATTGTAATTGTTTGTCTCTCCTCACTCGGTTGTTTTAGAGTACATTGAAGGTATAAGGTATTTTACTCATCTTTGTTGAGTGAATTATTATGTCAACTTCATTCCTTTTGTACTCATACATTTGTTAATGTTTCTAATGTATGTGTAACATTATAAAAACTTTTTCAGCCGGGCGTGGTGGCTCAAGCCTGTAATCCCAGCACTTTGGGAGGCTGAGGCGGGTGGATCACGAGGTCGAGGTCGAGAGATCGAGACCATCCTGGTCAACATGGTGAAACCCTGTCTCTACTAAAAATACAAAAAACTAGCTGGGCGTGGTGGTGCGTGCCTGTAATCCCAGCTACTTAGGAGGCTGAGGCAGGAGAATTGCCTGAGCCCAGGAGGCGGAGGTTGCAGTGAGCCGAGATCGCGCCATTGCACTCCAGCCTGGGTAACAAGAGCGAAACTCCGTCTCAAAAAAAAAAAAAAAAAAAAAAAAAAAAAAAAAAAAAAAACTTTTTCAGGCGGGCTGTGGTGTCTCATGCCTATAATCCCAGCACTTTGGGAGGCCAAGGTGGGAGGAACGCTTGAGCCTGGGAGTTTGAAACCAGCCGGGACAACAGTGTGAGACCTCATCTGTGCAAAAAAAACTTAAAAATTAGCCAGGCATGGTGGTGCACGCTTGTGATCCCAGCTACACGAGAGGCTGAGGCGGGAGGATTGCTTGAGCCCAGGAGTTCAAGACCAGCCTGGGCAACAAAGTAAAACCCTGTCACTACAAAAAATAAAAAGATTAGGCTATGATCCCAGCTACGTGAAAGGATGAGGTAGAAGAATTGCTTGCGCCATGGAGGCTGCAGTGAGCCATGTTTGCGTCACTTCATTCCAACCTGAGTGTCAGAGCAAGACCTTGTCTCAAAAACAAACAAAAAAAACTTTTTCATATTTGTTTTCTACAGTAATCACAAGGAATGGTCTATGTAAATTTTTTCATGGATCATGTAAAGTGGTTTTGCTTTCTTTTGTTTTGCCTTACTTTATTTAGTATACTTTTCTTGGAAACTGCTTCCTGACTTGTTCTTTATACTGGGGTTCTTAGTTTGTGCTTATAGGATTAAAATATTTTGTCATGGCCTGTGCTTATAGGATTAAAATATTTTGTCATGGCCAGAGGCCCTTAGATGGGATTACAAAACAAAGAAGCATAAGTGGCCGGTTTTCTCTTATCATAATGCTCTATTCTTTCTTATTTGTTTTGAATGGTTAAAGAACTATGTCGCTTATTAAATAGGTTACTTGGGTAATATGCATTTTTTTTCTTTCTAAATTTTAGGAGGATGATGAACAACAAAGACTCAATAAGAGAAAGGTTCACAAAAAAACAGATGTTGAAGAAGAAATAAAAATACCAGTAGTGTGTGCTTTAACTCAAGAAGAATCTTCAGCCCAGTTGTCAAATGAAGAGGTATAGTGAATCTATAATTAAAGTCATTATATATACACAATGTCAATAATTTTAGCTTACTCATACATTAGTTAATTACACTGGTCATATGAGACTTAAGAAGTGCATAGCTACTAGGTGAAAATTAGATGAAAATGACAGTATTTATTTTCAGTTGTTTTTAATGGCATAGGTGGCACTATTCGAAACATATTGCAGCTTCATTTGCTGTCTGTAATAATTAGATGTTCTTTTTTCCAGTATTTTCAAAATTTAATACATTAGAATAAATCTTTAAATAATGTCTGCAAAGTCTTTTTTGATGTGAATAGTACATGTTGCTAATACTTGTCCTTTTGTTTAAAAGAGGTTATCTAAAGCTCTGAAATGCTAAACTCCCTACAGCATATATATGAGTATGGACCAGTATTAGGTTTTAATCCCTGATGACAGTGGGTGAGGTTTGGCACCCAGGGTAAAACGACACAACAGGATAAAAGTTTCAGTTACTAGGAATGGGTAGAGTAGAGACACCTGAAAGTGTTAGGTGTTCTGTGGCCTTGTCACCTCTCACCCACAGTGTGGCAAGGGCCTTCTCATTGAGTTTCCTGTCTCAATTTGCCCCATTCCACCGTATTACTGTCGAATTCATTTTCTTAAGTGCAGCTGCAGTCAGGCCACTCCCCCACTCAAAAATTACTTTTGAGTCCCATTACCTATATAATTAAACACAAATTCCTCACTCAGACAAATAAGGCCCTTCATCATCTGGATTGCATTTTAGCTACAGCGGTCATAATCTTGGACTGTACTTATACCTAGTCTGTTGGTTTCTTCATTTGGAGTACTTTCCTCCATTGCCATTCTGAGTATTGAAATCCTTCTCATTTTTCAAAGCTCGTGCGGGTTACCTAGTTTTCAAGGAAATGCTTCTATTATTGCCTTTAGATCCCCCAAGATCCCTAGCTTGGCATACAAAAGCATTCACAGTTGAATGGTCCTGCTGGCCTCACTCACTGCTCTCCACTTTTCTGTAGCCAGACCTGTGCACTTACTGTTCATGTGTATGTGCCCTGTCCCTGCTGTTTAGGATCATGCGCACTTCCTTCCCCCCACCTTCTTTTCTGGCCTGAAAATGAATTTCACTTAAATTGGATAAGGGTCTTGTCTTTACTTTCAGGGGTATCATGCTTCTGTTTACTTTGCAGATTTACTTTGAGCCATGTATAATCTACTTCCTGGTGGTTTATATGCCCATGTTTACAGATTGTTTGATGTTTAAGAAAAACTTTTTTTTTTTTTTGGTTTTTTTTTTTTTTTTGAGACGGAGTTTCGCTCTTGTTACCCAGGCTGGAGTGCAATGGCGCGATCTCGGCTCACCGCAACCTCCGCCTCCTGGGTTCAGGCAATTCTCCTGCCTCAGCCTCCTGAGTAGCTGGGATTACAGGCACGCACCACCATGCCCAGCTACTTTTTTGTATTTTTAGTAGAGACGGGGTTTCACCATGTTGACCAGGATGGTCTCGATCTCTCGACCTCGTGATCCACCCGCCTCGGCCTCCCAAAGTGCTGGGATTACAGGCTTGAGCCACCGCGCCCGGCCAAGAAAAACTTTTAAAAAAATTTAGTAGACACTAAAAAGTGATGTATATTGTAGTTATTTTGTTCATTCTTTGTTTTGGGACATAGACTAAGAACCGCTTGTTCTAATTCTGCTGTGCCTTTTAAAAAATAGTTAGACTCCCAAGAGAATGTCTCAATTTTTTGGTACAGCCAATGATTACATAGTGTTTTCATCATGCAGTAATCTATCCAGGAAAGTTTAAAAGCAGGAAAACAGGAAAGGGACATTTGTTGTGATTTACAGAGAAGTATTTTTATTTTCGATTCTCTCTTAACAGATCTGTAGACTTACAGAGCTGGTGTTTTGCAACTTGAATGTTGAATGTAATTGTTTTGTATCAAGAATCATGACACAACTCTTGGTTTAGAGTTAGTCTGAAGCCTGGCTAACATAGTGAAACCCCATCTCTACTAAAAATACACAAATTGACAGGACAAGGTGGCATATGCCTATAATCCCAGCTACTCAGGTGACTGAGGCACAAGAATCGTTTGAACCCAGGAGGTGGAGGTTGCAGTGAGCCGACACTTCACCACTGCACTCCAGCCTGGGTGACAGAGTGAGACCCTGACTCACACACAAAAAAAGTTAATCTGAGATGCTTTGGAGAGTTAGATTTATGGCTAAAGATATTTGAAATTTGCAGATCTCACATTTTCTTTAACTTGATGCTTAGAATATGCTTTTTTGTCTACAAAAATGTTCATTATGGAAAATTTGGGAAGTATAGAAAAGGCCATAATACAAAATAAAAATAACTGGTAGATCATCCTACTCAGAGATAACAACTAATATTTTGGTATATATCTCTTTTTTCCTTTTGTTTTCTTTTCCAGAGATAATATATATGTTAACATATGTGTTTCTCTTTTTTCTTTTTAATTTTTTTTTTTTTAAAGATGGGGTTTCACCATGATGGCCAGGCTGGTCTTGAACTCCTGGACCTCAGGTGATCCACCCACCTCAGCCTCCCAAAGTGCTAGGATTACAGGCGTGAGCCACCGTGCCTGGCTTTTTTTTCTTTTAAATTTGAGACAGGATCCCACTCTCACTCAGGCTGGAGTGCAGTGGTGCAATCTTGGCTCACTGCAGCCTCGACCTCCCAGGCTCAAGTGATCTTCCTGCCTCATCCTCCTGAGTAGCTGGGACTACAGGTGCCCCCCATCATGCCCAGCTGATTTTTTGTAGAGTCTGTGTATCAACGTGTTACCGAGGCTGGAACACATGTTTGTATTTGGCCTTAAAAAAAAAAAAATTTTAGACAGGGTCTCGCTCTCACTCGGGCTGGAGTGTAGTGACGTGATCTCAGCTCACTGTAACCTCCGCCTCTCATGTTCAAGTGATTCTCCTCCCTCAGCCTCCTGAATAGCTGGGATTACAGGCATGCACCACCATGCAAGGCTAATTTTTATATTTTTAGTAGAGACGGAGTTTCACCATGTTGGCCAGGCTGATCTTGAGCTGATCTTGTTATTCGCCCACCTCGGCCTCCCAAAGTGCTGGGATTACAAGCTTGAGCTACCATGCTCAGCTCTATTTGCACTTTTAAAACATAGATTTTAACTACATAATGTTTTGTGTAATTTTTTTCTCTTACTTAAATCTACTTTAAGGTTTTGGCACATCATTAAATGTTTTTCCCCAAAACGATATTTAATGGCTGGCATAATTTTAGCATGTAAATGTACTATAATTCTTTTAACCAATTCCCTACTAATCACTTTGTTAATTTTTGCCTTTTTTTGTTTTTTTGAGACAATCTTATTCTGTCACCCAGGCTGGAGTGCTATGGTATGATCTTGGCTCACTGTATCCTCCACGGTTCGAGTGATTTTTGATGTCTCAGTCTCCCGAGTAGCTGGGACTACAGGCGCACACCACTACGCCCAGCAAATTTTTGTCTTTTTAGTAGAGACAGGGCTTCACCATGTTGGCCAGGGTGTTGGTAAACTCCTGGCCTCAAGTGATCTGCCCACCTCGGCCTCCCAAAGTGCTGGGATGACAGGTGTGAGACTGCATCCAGCTTTTGCCTGGTTTTTAATTCATAATTTTGACTGAGTGATGACATAGGGAGGTCAGTGCCATTGAAAAAAGTTTTGTGTTACTCACAGTTCTCCTAGAAGCAGAGGCAAAGCTCATCATGCAGCCGGGAAGCACCAGAGCTGGTCAGGAGGCAGGAGCAGGAGCAGGAGCGAGTAAAAAAGCATGGGCTATGGCTGTTACTGTGTTTTCTCTGGGAAAAGCAAAGTGGAGCAGAGCAGAGAGTTTAGGACTGGCTAGTAATTAATTCTGGCAGCCTTTGGGGTATAGGGTCTGCTCTTAGTTGTTTGGAACTGGCCCTGGGTTAATTTAGGGCAGGGGAGATACTGGTTTGGTGTGTGACTTAGGTAAAGGAGGTGGTTGGAGATACGGGTTTGAGATTCAATGGTTTGTATATGAAAGGTGTGTTTACAGTCATGTGAGTTGTTTATTATCTCTAGAATAATTAGCTAGTCCTGTGAAGCAGTTTCTTCCCTGCCAGCAAGGCCTCCACTAAGTCAAAACAGTATGAAATATAGAAAATGAAAAGCATGATTAACACACTGATAGTCAAGTTGGTTCCATTTTTTACTACTATACAATTTTTTGTTGTTATAAGTAATGTCATAATGTTATATATAATTTTTCCTTGTACAAAAATCATGAATGCATCTGATTTTTTTCTTTTTCTTTTTTTTGTGTGAGTTCTTAGGAAAAGAATGCCTGACAGGGCATGGTGGCTCATGACTGTAATCAAAGCACTTTTGGAGGCTGAGGCAGGTGGATCACTCAAGGCCAGGAGTATCAACCAGCCTGGCCAGCATGGCGAAACCATGTCTCTACTAAAAATACAGAAGTTAGCCAGGCGTGGTGTCTGATGCCTGTGGTCCCAGCTATTCAGATGGCTGAGGCATGAGAATCCCTTGAGCCCAGGAGATGGAGGTTGCAGTGGGATGGTATCGTGCCACTGCACTCTAGTCTGGGTGACAGAGCAAGACTCTGTCTCCAGGAGAAAAAAAAAAAAAAACAACTGAATTCAAGGATGTAAACATTTTAAAGATAACTATTGCCAATGCAGAGTCTGATGTGGGTTTTTTGTTTTGTGTTTTTTTGAGACAGGCTCTCGTTCTTGCCACCCAGACTGGCCAGATTACAGTCGTGCCATCAAAGCTCACTACAGCCTCAATCTCCTGGGCTCAAGCAATCCTCCCGTCTCAGCCTCCTGAGTAGCTGAGACTGCGAGCGTGTGCTGCCATATCTGGCTGATTTTTAAATTTTTTCATAGAAATGAAGTCTCCCTATGTTGCCCAGGCTGGTCTTGTATTCCTGGGCTCAACCTCAGGAGTTGAGGTCTTGTACTCCTGTCCTCCTACCTCAGCCTCCCAAAGTGCTGGATTTATAGGCCTGAGCCACTGCACCAGGCCTGTAGTCAGATGTTAAATGGTTCTCATAACTATTCTATCCCTAGCCCCTTCCCTCTTCAGTATCACAGCAGCACTGTATATGATACATAGCAGTGGGTGTTAGGTTTATTTGTAAACTAACAGGATGGCTTAGCCCAATTTTTATTAGGATACTTACTTGGGATCTTTGCCATAGTAAGCTTAATATGTACAAGATTTGTGTTCTTAGCCATTGGAGTTGAGATGAGTAAAAATCTTTAAAAGGAAATAAATAGTGGAATTAACTCAAAATTTGTCACCTTTTTATTACACCAAGTATATTTTTAAAACATTTTAAAAAATTGGTGATGTGAGCTTGCCAGTAACAACTGTATTCCACAGTCTATTCTGGTTCATTTAAAAAAGAGCATTTAACAACAAAAATTAGAAAGGATATTATCTTAAAATATTGTCGTTTAGATGGAATAAATTTAGTTGGAAGGGGCTGGGTATGACGGCTTACGCCTGTAATCCCAGCACTTTGGGAAGCTGAGGTGGGTGAATCACGAGGTCAGGCAAGATCAGCCTGGCCAACATGGTGAAACCCCGTCTCTACTAAAAATAAAAAATTAGCTGGGTGTGGTGGTGGGCGCCTGTAATCCCATCTCCTTGGGAGGCTGAGGCAGAAGAATTGATTGAACCCGGGAGGCAGAGGTTACAGTGAGCCGAGATCGTGCCATTGCACTCCAGCCTGGGTGACAGAACGAGACTCCATTTCAAAAAAAAAAATTGGAAAACTTACTATATTTTCCTTCAACCTAAGTCATTTCTCTTATGTCGCCACTAACTATGCAACTGCTTCATGTAATGGCATTGTTTGCTTTTTGCCTTCGGGAATGTGCTGTACCATGTTGTTTGAAAATTGAGGTCAAATTCAGCCGGGTATGGTGGCTCATGCCTGTAATCCCAGCACTTTGGGAGGCCTTAGCAGGCAGATTGCCTGAGCTCAGGAGTTCCAGACCAGCCTGGGCAACACGGTGAAACCCTGTCTTTACTAAAATACAAAAAATTAGATGGGCATGGCAATGTGCACCTGTAGTCCCAGCTATTTGGGAGGCTGAGGCAGGAGAATTGCAAGAACCTGGGAGGCGGAGGTTGCAGTGAGCAGAGATTGTGCCATTGCACACCAGCCTGGGCAACAAAGCAAGACTCTATCTCAAAAAAAAAAAAGAGTTGAAATTCATATAACGTAAAATGAACCATTTAAAGTGTACAGTTCAGTGGCATGGCATATATACATTAATGTTTCTAGTTTGAAAACATTTTTATCATTCCCAAAGGAGACCCCATACCCATTAGAGTCACTCCCCATTTTCCCTTCTCCCTGGCCTCTAGCAACCACTAATCTGCTTTATGTCTCTATGGATTTACTTGTTCTGGACATTTTAAATAGATGGAATTATACAACATGTGAGTTTTTGCATCTTCTTTCACATAGTGTACAACATTGAACATGTTGATTACACTTTGGTTGAAAATACCACGTTCTCATCATTTCCTTTCTACTACTCTGGCTACTTCTTTGCCCATCCTCAAAATGTTAGTCTTTCTCAGGACTCTGCCCTTGGCCCTCTTTTCTTACATGCTCATCCTAGGTGTTCTGATTTGCTCCTGTGACTTTGATTATCATTATGCAATAGTTACTCCCAAGTCTCTATCTAAAGACTTCTGTGTCCCTCTATTAAGTGGGCATCTCTACTTGGATATATGACAGGCACCTTGCACTCGACATACCCAACACTGAATTGCAGGTGACTTTCCTCAGCTCTTTGTATCTGGGAGCTCTTTGAGCACATTAATGATTATCATGTGTAATGAGTGGTAGAATACATGATAGTTTTTGTCTTTGAAAATGAAGAGAATTGTCTAATTTGGCAATATTTATTTTCATATTTCAGGAGCATTTAGATAGCACCCATGGTTCAGTCCATTCCTTAGATGCAGACTTATTGTTGCCATCTGGAGATCCTTTCAGTAAATCAGACAATGACATGTTTAAAGATGGACTCAGAAGAGCACAGTCTACAGACAGCTTGGGAACCTCGGGCTCATTGCAATCCAAAGCTTTAGGCTATAACTACAAAGCAAAATCTGCTGGAAACCTGGACGAGTCAGATTTTGGACCACTGGTAGGAGCAGATTCAGTGTCTGAGAACTTTGATACTGCATCCCTTGGGTCACTCCAGATGCCAAGTGGGTTTATGTTAACCAAAGATCAGGAAAGAGCAATCAAGGCGATGACACCAGAACAAGAAGAGACGGCGTCCCTCCTCTCTAGTGTTACCCAGGGCATGGAGAGTGCCTATGTGTCCCCCAGTGGTTATCGTTTAGTTAGTGAGACAGAATGGAATCTCTTGCAGAAAGAGGTGAGTTACCATTCTCATGTTTTTCTTCTTGCTCACTCTGAGGCATACTGGGAAGTTAGGGGATTTATCGTTCGTGTAGCAGATGGTTCCTGGAGTCTGCAGGTACACGTTTCCAGTAAGTGGGTGTTAACCTGTGCCGCCTGACCCTTGTCATAGTCTGCTTTGGCTATTCCAGGTAATTGTGACAGAGAAAGGAGCTAGCTAGCTTATCACAGTGAATGTGAACTTCCCCACCTGAACTCCCAACTCTCAAGGTGGAGCAATCTGTCTGACTAGCATTACTGAATTGAAGTTAGTGTAACCTGAATTTGGTTTGCTTTGCAGTTTTCTATAATCTCAATGTGTTCTAGGATTCAGGCTTTTATGTTTCCTTTAAGCCAAAGCACAATTGCCTGTCTGCTGTTGATGCTGAGAGTGGGTTTAAAGAGGGATTAGGAATATGGGAGAGAAAAGGCAATCTTTAATGAGGTTAATTTTCCTCCTTAGAGAATTTGTAAATTCACAGGTAAGATTAGGAGATAAACAGTTATTTGCATAATGCTTTATGGATTACAAAACTCTTTAACATACCCGATCACTTTAAGCTTTATGATTATATGAGACAATTGGGGCATGGGTATTCCCCATTTACTGGTGAGAAAAGTGTCTAGGAAAGATGAAGTGAGTTGCTGAAGTATCCCTTTGACCTAGTAGCAAAACCAACTTCTGGTGCTTTCCTTGACTCAGGCTGCTTCCCTTTAAAGAAGCCATTGGTCGATAAGAGGAACAGATACTAAGCCTTAAGGAAACTATTCTCAATGGTCTTATGCAAAACATAAGTGAGAAGGTGCTGCTTACTAGTTTCATACCTATTTTATAATTGGAGCTGGTGAAACGATGATTTAGCACTGTTTTTGTTTGTTTTTCCTTCCCATTGATTGGTTAGTATTAACTGTGAGTACCACGGTCTAGTACCTTTTGGTTGCTTTGTGTTTTCCTCAGATGTGATGTTTTGTGCCTCTTTGGTGATAAATTGTGTCCGTTGTCTATCATACTTGTACTGGAGAGTTTGACTTTTTAGTATGTGACCCTATATTGTAACTTTGCTGTAAGGCCCTGAAGAAAAGTGTTTACTTCATGTTCTACTTTGAGTACCATGGGTAAGACTATGCACGTGTACCTCAAGTATGTGATGTGGAATTATTTTGTTTTGCCTAAGAGGTAATTTTGATGCCCTTCAGGTGCATAATGCTGGAAATAAACTTGGTAGACGTTGTGATATGTGTTCCAATTATGAAAAACAGTTACAAGGAATTCAGATTCAAGAGGCAGAAACAAGAGACCAGGTGAGTGTCTTCTGGATATGCCAGATTGTTACCTATTGTAGTTTTCATTGGAGGTGCAGAGTTAATTGCCTCCCCTCCGGCCCCCAGTCCTGTTTACATCATGAAGCATATCCATCTTGTCAAGTTATGAAATAACGTGGTACATGCAGTGGCAGTTACATTTTTAGTGAGAGCTCACTAGGACTCTGCTTTTGTGTATCGGCACAGGTCAGCCCAGCTCTTAAAGGGACACTGCCTCATCTCTTCTATTCTGCCCCTTCTGCCTAAGGCCTAAAAGCGATTTTATATACATGGAAATTACTGTATGATATGGAGATCTAAGGGAGATAAAAGGTTGATTATTGCCTCTTAGAGAATAAAAGCTTAATTGAATGTTGTATTAATCAAAATTTGTATCCTTCATTGCTTATTGCTCACTTCTTGTCATAAATTTGTTAAGTTTAGTAAGTTCCCAGAAATTAAGCTTTGGGAGATTTGGTATTCGAGATTGGCAAATCTTCGGTACCTTTTCAAAAGCAGTGTTTGATAATGGGTACCTTGATGACATTTAGGAAATAATGTAGAAATTCATGAGAAAATTCATATACTTGTAAAAGTATATGAAAGAAAGATACTTTTTTCCTTATATTTCCAAATTGTTCTTTGGCTGTTACGAAGATGATTCCCTTGGTCTTCAAAATAACTTTAAGCAGATGAGAATGATGGTTTCATATTTTCAAACATCATTGCTATTGAGTTCCTTCATAAACTGTGTGCTTTACTCATAGATGTTTCAAAGATAAATTTCTAAAGCTATTTGCAAAACTAATGTAGTTGGCCCCTGACGGTGTGGTGTGGGTATGAATTCCATACACATTTCAGTAGACTGTTTTATTTATTATTATTATTATGATGATGATGACCAGGCTGGTCTTGAACTCCTGACCTCAGGTGATCCACCCACCTCAGCCTCCCAAAGTCCTAGGATTACAGGCGTGAGCCACAGCGCCCGGCCTCAGTAGGCTGTTTTAAAGTCTGGCTAAAAATTAGTCATAAAAAGAAGTGAGAAAAGGATGTCCAAGCAGAGAAAAGATTATACAAAGAACAAGAATTAGGGAAGAAAATGATGTATTCTAGGAAGTATGAGTAGTTAGGTGGCTGGGTACAGCAGGTGATTGTTACAAAATAATGGGAGAGTAAGCTACAAAAGAAGGCTGTGATGACATCACTTAGGAGGGGTGATGATTGAAGGGGTTTAAATTTTACCCTGAAGCTGGGTGCAGTGGCTCTTGCCTATAATCCTAGCACTTCAGGAGGCCAAGAGAGGCAGATCACCTGTGGTTTGGTCGGGAGTTTGAGACCAGCCTGACCAACATGGTGAAACTACACCTTTACTAAAAATACAAAAATTAGCTGGGGATGGTGGTGTAAGCCTTAATCCCAGCTACTTGGGAGGCTGAGGCAGGAGAATCTCTTGAACCTGGGAGGTAGAGGTTGCAGTGAGCCAAAATCGTGCCATTCCACTCCAGCCTGGGCAACAAGAACAAAACTAGGTCTCAAAACAAAAACAAAACAAAACAAAACATTAAGGCATTTAGGGTTTTCAGTAGGGAGATTATATGATTTCACTTTTACAAAATTTATGGTGTTAGTGTGGATTGTAGATTGGAGACAGAGGATAGACTTCTAGTCAGGAAAAACAGTGTCATAGCCTAGAGAAGGCGTCCCCAAACTTTTTACACAGGGGGCCAGTTCACTGTCCCTCAGACCGTTGGAGGGCCGCCACATACTGTGCTCCTCTCACTGACCACCAATGAAAGAGGTGCCCCTTCCTGAAGTGCGGCGGGGGGCCGGATAAATGGCCTCAGGGGGCCACATGTGGCTGCGGGGCTGTAGTTTGGGGACACCTGGACTAGAGGATCCAGGGAAGAAGCAGATGTTTTCAGATGGGAAGTGTGTAAGAAATGATTTGTTAACTGTAAAGGACAGTACAGTTGTCTCTTGAGGTCATTTATCTCATTTCTGTCTGAATTGAAAAATCTATGGTGTTTCCTAGAAAAAGAGAAGATATTCTTAAAAATTCTGTAGTTAGATTTTTTAAAAAATTTATGAAAGGATTCTGGTTTTTCTTTCTGATTGACTTTTAAAATGATATAGGTGAAAAAACTACAGCTGATGCTAAGACAAGCTAATGACCAGTTAGAGAAGACAATGAAAGATAAGCAGGAGCTAGAAGACTTCATAAAGCAAAGCACTGAAGATTCCAGTCACCAGGTAAGTGAGGGATGACTGGGCTATTCAAATAAAACATTTAAAAAATACAGTCATGTTTCTTTTGCCTTGAAGATTTGGCAGTTTGACTTTTTTCCCCAGGTAAAAAGATTTCTTACTGATCATTCTGATATCTGTTTTACAAATTTTTAGAAAATAACTTTTAATATAATTGGTCAGTAAATGGCAGGAGGTTCTGATTCTCCTTGCTTTTTTTTTTTTTCTTTTATTAATTAGGTTTTCCTCCTGCAGTAGAAACTTGCTGACAAAGATACTAATTATTTAAAGCTTTTAAAAAGTATAGCAAGGCCGGGCGCGGTGGCTCAAGCCTGTAATCCCAGCACTTTGGGAGGCCGAGGCGGGTGGATCACGAGGTCGAGAGATCGAGACCATCCTGGTCAACATGGTGAAACCCCATCTCTACTAAAAATACAAAACATTAGCTGGGCATGGTGGCACGTGCCTGTAATCCCAGCTACTCAGGAGGCTGAGGCAGGAGAATTGCTTGAACCCAGGAGGCGGAGGTTGCGGTGAGCCGAGATCGCGCCATTGTACTCCAGCCTGGGTAACAAGAGCGAAACTCCGTCTCAAAAAAAAAAAAAAAAGGTATAGCAACACGAAAAACCAAAACATATGCTGATACACCAAACATAGCAGAACTAACATCTGTGTAACCACCATTGAGATCAAGCAGTAGAATATTAGGCAGTATTAGCCAGTACCCCAGAAGCCCTCACTTTCCCCTGCACGTACAACCCCTCCCGACAGGCAGCCACTGTCCTACCTTCTAACATCATTAGGTTAGGCTGTGCTTTAACTTTAGAAAATGAAGTCATACTTCATTTTGTGTTCTTTTGTGTCTGTCTTCCTCTGTTCAACAGTGTTGTATTCCTACTGATGATGGCTGGAGTAAGTTTGTTCATTTTCATTGTTGAATAGTCATACCGTTGTACGGATATACCACAATTCATCCATACTAATGCTGATTGATATTTTAGTTGTTTCCAGTTCTGGGATATTATGAATAATGTTCCTTTGAAATTTTTGAATAGGACATGGTGGACATGTTTCTGCAGGATATATAACTAGAAGTGGAATGCTTGGGTACAAATAATGCCAGATAGTTTTCAAAGTGGTTATACCAATTTATACCTCTACCAGCAATGTATGACAGTTCCTGTGGTTCCAAGATCTTGAAAAATGTCATTTTGTTATTTTAATTATAGCCATTTTGGTGGGTATGTAATAGTATTTTATTGTGGCTTAGTTTGCATTTCTCTAATGACCATTCAAGTTATTTAGCATTTTTCATGTTTCTTGGCTAATGGGCTATTGTGTATGTGAGAGATTCCTGCTCAGGTCTTATACTCATCTTTCTATTGGGTCTATTTTACTTTTTTTGGTCTTTAAAAACTGATTTGTTAGGTGTCCTTTATGTAATCTTATTAGAATCTTTTGGTGATAAGTTTTGTAGATGACTTTTACTCAGTAGCTTATATTTTTATCGCACCCAGGCCAGAGTGCAGTGGTGCAATCTCTGCTGACTGCAACCTCTGCCTCCCGGGTTCAAGTGGTTTTCCTGCTTCAGCCCCCTGAGTAGCTAGGACTACAGGCAGTCACCACCACACCTGGCTAATTTTTGTATTCTCCTTCCTCAGCACCCTGAGTAGCTGGGAATACAGGTGCCTGCCACCATGCCCAGCTAATTTTTTAAATTTTTAGTAGAGATGCAGTTTCACCAGGCTGGGCTCGAACTCCTGACTTCAGTTAACCTGCCTGCCTTGGCCTCCCAGTGCTGGGATTATAGTCATGAGGCACTGCGCTCGGCTCAGAGTTACCTTTTCTTTTTGAGATGGAGTCTCACTTGTCACTCTGTGGCCCAGGTGCAGTGGCACAACCTCAGCTCACTACAACCACTGCCCTCTCCAGTTCAAGTGATTCTCCTGCCTCAGCCTCCTGAGTAGCTGTGTTTGGAGATGCCCGCCACCATACCCAGCTAATTTTTTTTTTGCAGATGAAGTCTTGCTCTGTGCCCCAGGCTGGAGTGCAGTGGCGAAATCTTGGCTTATTGTAACCTCTACATCCCAGGTTCAAGCGATTTTCCTGCAATAGCCTCCTGAGTAGCTGGAATTGTAGGCACCTGCCCCCACACCCTGCTAAATTTTGTATTTTTAGTAGAGACAAGGTTTCACCACCAGCTTGGCTAACAGCGAAACCCTGTCTGTAATAAAAAATATAAAAATTAGCCAGGTTTGGTGGCAGGCACCTGTAATCCAAGCTACTCAGGAAGCTGAGGCAGGAGAATTGATTGAACCCGGGAGGCAGAGGTTGCAGTGAGCCGAGACTGTGCTACCGCACTCCAGCCTGGGTGACAAGAGTGAGACTCTGTCTCAAAAATAAATAAAGTAAAAAAAATAAAGACTTAAAAAAAAAAAATGATAGACATGGTGTCTTGCTGTGTTTCCCAGTCTGGTCTTGAACTTCTGGGCTCAAGTGATCCTCTCACTTTAGCCTCCTGAAGTTCTGGGATTATAGATGTGAGCCACTCTGCCCAACCTAAAGATTTTGTGTGGGTGTGTATCTTTTGTTTTTAGCAATTTCACTCTGCTATTACTAGGTGTATTTTTCTTCATACTTTTCCTGTTTAGGCTTCATAGGGACGCTCGAATCTTTGAATTGATGTCTTATATCATAATTGGAAAATTCTTAGCCATTATGTGTCTGAAAAACTTGAGCTTGGTACAGTGGCTTATGCCTTTAATCCCAGTACTTTGGGAGGCTGAGGTGTGAGAACTGCTTGAGGACAGAAGTTTGGGGCCAGCCCAGGCAACATAGTGAGACTCATCTCTACTAAAAAATTCAAATAAAATTAGCCAGGCATGGTGGCTCGTGTGTGTAGTCCTAACTTGAGGCAAGAGGATCACTTGAGCCCAGGAGATAGAGGTTGCAATGAGCTGTGATCACTCCATTTTACTCCAGCCTGGGCAATAGAGCAAGACCCTGTCTCTAAACAAAAGATAAATAAAACAAACAAAAACTTGTATTTCTTACAGTAAAGTGCACAAAGTTCATGTATACAATTTGATAAATTTTAACATATGAAAAATGTTACCAGGGTAGTCTTCATCCAGATCAAGATACAGAACATTTCTAATATACCCATGCCTTTTCCTAGTCAATAAATACTCTACCTACCTGTGCATAGAGATAGCTACTATGCTGACTTTAACACTGTATTTTAGCATTTTAGTTCTTAAATGTCATATAAATGGAATCATACAGTGTGTAGCCTTTCATGTCTAGTCTACTTGGCCATCATTAGGTTGGTGAGATTCATCCATAGTGTTTGGCGTATCAGTAGGTATTTTTTCTTTTTTTTTTTGAGACGGAGTTTCGCTCTTGTTACCCAGGCTGGAGTGCAATGGCGCGATCTCGGCTCCCGGCAACCTCCGCCTCCTGGGTTCAGGCAATTCTCCTGCCTCAGCCTCCTGAGTAGCTGGGATTACAGGCACGCGCCACCATGCCCAGCTAATTTTTTTGTATTTTTAGTAGAGACGGGGTTTCACCATGTTGACCAGGATGGTCTCGATCTCTTGACCTTGTGATCCACCCGCCTCGGCCTCCCAAAGTTCTGGGATTACAGGCTTGAGCCACCGCGCCCGGCTTGAATATTCTTTTACTAGGATATACAATTGTTTATTCATACTACAGTTGAGGGACATTTAGGTAGTTTCTAGTTTATGGCTGTTGTATGTTTTCTTTAAATATTCTTGTACACGTCTTTTGATGGACATTGGAGACTAATTTCCTTTGAGAAGGTGTGAGATTAGGAGGCTTACTTTTCAGTTCTATTAGATATTTCCATTGGCCGTTCTTTAGATGGTTTATATGTTACACCTTTTTATTTTTTTTGAGTCAGAGTCTCACTCTGTTGCTAGGCTGGAGTGCAGTGGCGAGATTTTGGCTCTCTGTAATCTCCGCCTCTCGGGTTCAAGCGATTGTCCTGCCTCAGCCTGCCGAGTAGCTGGGATTACTGGTACCTGCCACCATGCCCAGCTAATTTTGTATTTTTAGTAGAGATGAGGTTTCACCATGTTGGCCAGAATGCTGTCTCTAGACCTTGTGATCCACCCACCTTGGCCTTCCAGTGTGCAGGGATTACAGTCTTGAGCCACCACACCCGGCCCGTGTTACACTTTCTTACTGCATCTGCATGCCTCTTAGCCTCTCTTCTATACTTTCCATCTTTTTGTCTTTGTTTACTTTTTTCAAATCTTTCACTTCAACTGATTTTTTTTTTCTTCACATGGATCTTATCTGTTAATCTGTCCATTGAATTTTTTTTTTTTTTTTTCGAGACGGAGTTTCGCTCTTGTTACCCAGGCTGGAGTGCAATGGCGCGGTCTTGGCTCACCGCAACCTCCGCCTCCTGGGTTCAGGCAATTCTCCTGCCTCAGCCTCCTGAGTAACTGGGATTATAGACGCGTGGCACCATGCCCAGCTAATTTTTTTGTATTTTTAGTAGAGACTGGGTTTCACCATGTTGACCAGGATGGTCTTGATCTCTTGACCTTGTGATCCACCTGCCTCGGCCTCCCAAAGTGCTGGGATTACAGGCATGAGCCACTGCGCCCGGCCAGTCCATTGAATTTTTAATTTTGGTAATTGATTTTTTTCAGTTCATTGTTTTCATTTGGTTATTTGTCATCATTTCTAGTTCTCTGTCAACTTTAAATTTTGGAACACGCCACGTATCTAATAACTCACATATCTGGATTCATGGTAGACCTGTTTCTATTGTCCTTCTGTCTTACTTTATATTTCCTTGCACATTTTAAGTGCTGGGCATTGTATGTAAAAAATAGTTGAAATAATATAAATTCTAGTATGATGCCATTTTCCTTGAGAGGCAGGCAAATAAATATTGGTACTAACAATCTTGAATCACTTTAATCCAGTTATAGGAATTGAGATGATGTAAGTTATAAAGATTGGATTTTTTTTTTTTTAAAACAGAGTCCTGCTTTGTTGCCCAGGCTGGAGTGCAATGGCTCGATCTAAGCTCACTGCAACCTCCAGTTCCTGGGTTCAAGTGATTCTTGTGCTTCAGCCTCCTGAGTAGCTGGGACTACAGGCATGTACCACCATGCCTGGCTAATTTTTTTTTTTTTTTTTTTAGTTGAGACGAGGTTTCACCATGTTGGCCAGGCTGGTCTCGAACTCCTGACCTCAGGTGATCCGCCCACCTCGGCCTCCCAGAGTGCTGGGATTACAGGCATAAACCACTGTGCCCCAACAAAGATTGGATTATTTAAAATTCTTCCCTTCCCCTAGGGTGTGGCCCTTTTGAGAGATCCAAGCCAAAGGGCAGGATGTTTACCAGGGATCCCTTTGCTAGGTAGGACCTGAACTCTTCACCTATGCCACCTCATCCTGGGGCTCTCCAGCACTCTCCTGGGCTTCTCAGTGTCACATCTGTCACACCTGTTACTTAGAAGTATGGCACATTCTTCTAGAGGACTGTTCCACTCTTCATGTGTCCTTGTCCTGGTCCTTTTCTCTGTGATTCTTTTTTGCTTTGTTAGTTCTCCAGTGCCTTCATCCTCAATAGGAAGGTTGATTAATATTACCTAATCCACCACTATTAGAAGCAAAATTCTTTAATTTTTTTTTATTTTTGGAAGCAGAATTTTGACAATAATTATTTTAAAAATGTCTAAATAAAATCTTTTCCAGTTATAATTTTTATGTATGATTCATCAATTTTCAAATAAACCCCTCCTTAGGAACATTGAAACTAATTCAAGGGAGTTTATAATTCATTGATATTACTCATGTATAAATTGCTTGAATTGTAGCAAGTTAAAGATTGCAGCTAGTTCAGAAAAGATTTCATTTATCCTTTAAATGTGTGATGTTTTGTGGGCCTGATTTCACATTTTTATTAATTTTTTTTTTTTTTTTTTTTTTTTGAGACGGAGTTTCGCTCTTGTTACCCAGGCTGGAGTGCAATGGCGCGATCTCGGCTCACTGCAACCTCCGCCTCCCGGGTTCAGGCAATTCTCCTGCCTCAGCCTCCTGAGTAGCTGGGATTACAGGCACGTGCCACCATGCCCAGCTAATTTTTTTGTATTTTTAGTAGAGACGGGGTTTCACCATGTTGACCAGGATGGTCTCGATCTCTCGACCTTGTGATCCACCCGCCTCGGCCTCCCAAAGTGCTGGGATTACAGGCTTAAGCCACCGCGCGCGGCTAATTTTTTTTTTTTTTTTTTGAGATGCAGTTTAACTCTTGTCACCTAGGCTGGAGTGCAGTGGCACAATCTTGGCTCACTGCAACCTCCACTTCTCGGGTTCAAGCAATTCTTCTGCCTCAGCCTCCGAGTAGCTGGTATTATAGGCACCTGCCACCACGCCCAGCTAATTTTTGTACTTTTAATAGATGTGGGATTTCACTATGTTGGCTAGGCTGGTCTTGAACTTATGACCTCAGGTGATTCACCTGCCTCAGTCTCCCAAAGTGTTGGGATTATAGGTGTGAGCCAATGCGCCCAGCCTGATTTTTTTTTTTTAAAGAACATCTTTAAAAATAGCCACAACTGGGTCACGTGCATTAATAGCTTTCTTGACACTGGTAGAATGCCCTTTGTTAATGTATGGCTACATGTGACTTGGGCTTTGGCATTGCCTTGTGTTATCTGAAAGGACAAGGCTTTGCACACAGCAGACGTGCACATAGCTATTGAATGGTGGTGAGTGGTTACTATGAAGTAATATATTATCAGCTCGGACACTAAATAATGAGAAGATGGAAGAGTTAGTTTCAGAATAACCAATTTCCTAACTATATTTCTATGTGTGTGTGTTTTTTTTTTAAAAGATCTCTGCACTTGTCCTAAGAGCCCAAGCATCTGAGATCTTACTTGAAGAGTTACAACAGGGGTTTTCCCAGGCAAAGAGGGATGTTCAGGAACAGATGGTAAGTTAACATTTTAAGTAAATGATAACTATGTTACAAATATTCCTTTTTTGTTCTATTTTCACATCATCTTTCATATGACTTTGTCATCCTGTCCAAAGTAGTTACTATTGTGTTCTCCAGGGACTACAGAACATTAGTAATGGATGAAATATTCTAAAGACAGTATTCCTTTTTAAACCTACTTTCTGATCAAACAAAATTTTTTTCTCATTGTTTAACTTATTTTTCTGATTTGGGAAACCTAAACAGAATAAACTATGGACATATGTTTAATTTCGAATTCCAAATAAAAGCTAAAAAATTGAAATATTTGAGAGCCATAGCTGGTGCAGCTTTTGACCAGTCATTTTGTGATTTTCCTGGATGGCTAATTTATTTAGAATAAACTTATTAGGGCCAGGTGTGGTGGCTCACACCTTTAATCTCAGCACTTCGGGAGGCTGAGGTGGGCGGATCACGAAGTCAGGAGATTGAGACCATCTTGGCTAACAGGGTGAAATCCCGTCTCTACTAAAAATACAAAAAATTGCAGTTGGGCGCTGTGGCTCATGCCTATAATCCCAGCACTTTGGGAGTCTGAGGTGGGTGGATCACCTGAGGTTGGGAGTTTGAGATCAGCATGACTAACGTGGAGAAACCACGCCTCTGCTAAACATGCAAAAAATTAGCCAGGCGTGGTGGCACGCACCTGTATTCCCAGCTACTCAGGAGGCTGAGACAGGAGAATTGCTTGAACCTGGGAGGTGGAGGTTGCAGTGAGCCGAGATGGTGCCACTGCACTCTAGCCTGGGTGACAAAAAGAAAAAGAACTTTATTTTTTCGGTGATTTTTTTTTTTTTTTTTTTTTTTTTGAAAGCTCCTAAGCTATCATTAGTGTTAGTGTTAGTGTGTGTGTGTGTGTGTGTGTGTGTGTGTGTGTGTATTTTTAGAGATGATGGGATTTCTCCATTTGGTCAGGCCGATCTCTAACCTCTGACCTCAGGTGATCCGCCCGCCTCAGCCTCCCAAAGTGCTGGGATTACAGGCATGAGCCATCGTGCCTGGCCAAGAATAACCATATTAGTTTCACAGGGGTTATGAAAAAAACATGTAACTGTTGTGATGCTGGGGAACTTCCAGAAGGCCATCCTGCGAGGGATGGGGACAGAGTCTTATTAGCAAGGGCCGGCTGGAACCTTTCCAGATAGTTTCCCAGACTTGGGCCTCCCTCCTCACCAGTCTGGCTGCATTTGCTTTATTTTTCTCAAAGTTGGAGCCTACATCTGATGGCTTCAACTAAACTGTAGTAGAGATGGCCCTGCTGGGATGATTCTACAAAGCTGCTTACCCGGGGATGATGGGTTAAAAAAAAAAGCCTTGGGTGGAATGGTAATTGTACGTTTTTAATTGTTACTAGGTCAGTATCTGAATGGCCTTTTAGCTGATCCCTAAATCCTAGACCTGTTCTGTTGGAGAGAATCTCATCCTAATCAGTGACCCATAGTTTCTTATGTTTTCTCTTTTTTTTTTCTTTTGAGACAGAGTCTTGCTCTGTCGCCAGGCTGGAGTGCGATGGCGCGATGTCGATTCAGTGCAACCTCCACCTCTCGGGTTCAGGCAGTTCTCCTGTCTCAGCCTCCCAAGTAGCTGGAATAACAGGCATGAGCCACCACGCTCAGCTAATTTTTGTATTTTTAATATAGATAGGGTTTCACCATGTTGGCCAGGCTGGTCTCGAACTCCTGACCTCGTGATCCACCCACCTCAGCCTCCCAAAATGCTGGGATTACAGGTGTGACTGCACCCTGCCTTATATGTTTTCTCTAATTAGACAATACAAAATAACACTGGCATAACAACCACTGTTAAATACTGACAACTTCATAGTGGTGAGCCGCCTACACTCCTTTGTCCTCTTGCATCTTTTTCCTTCTTGTCTTTTAAGGCCCATCTGCCTTTTCAGACACTTTTCAAGCTGGTTTCACTTAAAATGAGTATGTGTGACACTGGAGAATTGTTGAAATTAAGGTTGAGGTCCTGTGAACTCGAATACACGACCATTTTGTTGAAATTAACACGAGTAAGAGAAACTCACTGCATTGGTGCATGCTTGACCTTTTTCTCAGTTTCTCTGTGTATGTTTGTAGGTATATGATGTATATGTATGTATGCTTTGGTTTGTTATTGCTGGACTATTTGGAGTTAAGTTGTAGACATGACAGTCATAAATATTTTAGTATGTATTTCCTAAAACAAAGAGATGTTCTGCATCGCTACAATACTATTATTACATCCTTAAAATTTAACCAGTCGTCCCAGTAAGTCCTTGATTACTTTTTAGTGGTGGTTTTCCTTTTTATATTTTCTATATTTTGATCCAGGAACCAATCAGTGATCACATATTGCATCTTGTTGTCATGTCACTTTAGTCACTTTTAATCTGGAATAGTCTCCCACTCTTTTTTTTTTTTTTTTTAAAGAATCCAGGCCAGTTGATTTGTTTTAGGCCAGCTCTCTTGTAGAATTCATTTGTCTGATTATCTCCTTGTGATTTGATTCAGGTTAGACATTTTGGCAAGAATACTGCATAAATGAAATGACTCAGTGGGAGGTTCATAACATCATGAGGCACATTAATGATGGGTGGTTCCATACTGGGATGTTAAATTTGATCGCTTGGTTAAGGTTGGGACAAAATAGTTTCAGAGTGACTACATCAATATTGCCACCAACACCAAATCTACTAAGTGAAGGTCCGCATTTCTCTGTAGTTCCTTCTGCCCTTTGACGGTATCTCAGCTAAGGGTTTACAGTTTTAAGTACTATGTTCAAAAGTTATTTTTTTTTCTCTGTGGTTGTATTATGAATTTGATATGTAGTTAGCTGCATTTGTTCCTCTTTGTATTTTCAGATTTGATTTTTCTTTTTTGATTTATATTTTACATACACAACATGGTTCATAAATCAAAAGTATAAAAGTAAATACTCAGCTCCATTTCCATTCCCTATCCTTTTCACCCCATTTCCACCCACTTTCATAAGTAATCATTGAAATTTATTTTTGGCTTAACCTTCTGTTTTTCTCTTTACAAAAATAACCAAATATATACATTTTCTTCTTTCCCTTTTTTCATATCCAAAAGGTGTTGTGATGCTAAGACTTTGTTGTAAATGGGTTGAAAGTGATCATAAAACACAGCTAATTCTAGACTGAAGAAATAAGAGCCAGTGGGGTTTAGCCAGAGCATTTGCATGACCTTGACTGCCTGTCTCTAGGCTCTGTGTCCTTCTGGATGCAGCTAAGTCATCGCCTCCTTTGGGAAGTGTTCTCTAACCCTCTCCCCAATTTCCTGCCCCCAGTTAGGTACCCTTTTGTCCTTTTATCACTGCAGTACCCAGTCTCTGTCGTAACACTTTCTGGCACTGTAGAGTAGTTTTCGGTTTACTTGTCTTTCTCCTCTGTTGGACCTTGAGCTTTTCCTGGGCAAAGTCTTTGTCTTTTCTCTCTATATTTCCTGTGGGCAGCAAATTAGCACATAGAAGCTGCAAAACAAATGTTGTATGAAAGCGTAATTTACATTTATGAGTACCCTTAAGGTGACTTAGTATTACACATTAGCAGGAGTCATATGCTTTTGTAGAACTTCTACTCAGATTTGCTGGAATAACTTTTATATTGATACAGATAATATGAAATACCTAAAAATTGTTTTACACATCAACAAGCGGAAGTGGGATCATGTCCCATTTTAAGAATAAGCTTCTCAAGTGCCCTATGATTCCTGAGCCTAGATCCTCTTGATGACTTCCAGTATTTGGGGCTGCAGGGCCATTGACAGTGATCTGAGCTTGAACAGATGTATAGGTAATGGGAAATGAAGACACTGATTTTTGTTTCTCCCTGCTTTCTGTTGAATGCATGCCATGAGGAAATAGGAGTTGTCTTAGAGCAGCTCTGAGCTGCTTTTTCTAACTCTAGCAGAACTTTCTCATATACCCCTCCATCCTTAGCACTCCTTTAGTTTGGTCTTGTTTTTCTTTGGTGTAGCTATCATCAGACTGGATTTACCTTTCTGGCTGTGATTAGTATCTACTTCTGTTTTAGGCAGTGCTGATGCAGTCACGGGAACAGGTTTCAGAAGAGCTGGTGAGGTTACAGAAAGATAATGACAGTCTCCAGGGAAAGCATAGCTTGCATGTATCATTACAGCAAGCAGAAGACTTCATCCTCCCAGACACTATAGAGGTAACTTAATTTCCACATGATAAAAAATGTAAACAAATATATTTTCTGAAATGACCATGTTTTTTATGTAAACAGCTTTATTCAGATATCAGATATCAATCGTTCACATGGCAATTCACCCATTTAAAGTGTGCCATTCCGTGGTTTTTGCTGTACTCACAGATATGTGCAAACATTGTCACAATCAGTTTTAGACATTGTTGTTTTTTTTTTTTTTGAGACGGAGTCTTGCTCTGTCACCCAGGCTGGAGTGCAGAGGTGTGATCTTGGCTCACTGCAAACTCCGCCTCCTGGGTTCAAGAGATTCTCCTGCCTCCGCCTCCTGATTAGCTGGGATTATAGGTGTGTACCACCACACCTGGCTTAATTTTTTGTATTTTTAGTAGAGACAGGGTTTCACCATGTTAGCCAGGATGGTCTCCATCTCCTGCCCTTGTGATCTGCCCGCCTTAGTCTCTTAAACTGCTGCGATTACAGGCGTGAGCCACCATGCCTGGCCTAGAACATTTTAGTCACCTCAAAAAGTAACTCCTTGTTACTATCACACACACACACACACACAAACACACACTCACACATAAACACACACACACAAACACACACGAAAAGTAACAGTTTACCCTTCAGCTACCATCCTTATTCCCCCTCCTCCCTTAACGTTCAGCAGCTACTAATTTACTTCTGCCTCTATAGCTGTCCCTATGCCAGACTTTCCTGCGAATAGAATCATATAATATGTGGTCTTTTGTGTCCATCTTCTTTGACGTAGCCTAATGTTTTAAAGATCTGTAAGTTATTTTTGTGGGACCAGATTGAGAGTGTGTCAGAAATTAAATGTTTGAAGGGGTTACCATGCTGGCTGCTTATGATGTTTGTTTTTGTGTCTAGTACTTGAAAGGTTACCTACCATCATTCTGTCCATAAAGATGAGACTTTTGTTTTGACAGATAATATTTTATCTGTCTGAAATGTATTATCTGTCACCCAGGCTGGAGTGCAATGGTGGGGTTCTCCATCTCTGCTCACTGCAACCTCCGTCTCCCGGATTCAAACAGTTCTCCTGCCTCAGCCTCCCAAGTAGCTGGGATTACAAGCACCCGCCACCATGCCTACCTAATGTTTTGTATTTATAGTATAGACGAGGTTTCACCATGTTGGCCAGGCTGGTCTCGAACTCCTGACCTCAAGTGAACCACCTTGCCTGACCAAAGATGACACTTTGGGTTACTTACATTTTTTTCTAGTTGGGTAAACCTGGCCTACAAAACTGGTTTCCCAGAGACATTCATAATTGTCTCCTTAACTTTATCCAAGCTTTATTTTTAATTTTTAGTTTTTGAGACACAGTTTCACTCTGTCGCCCAGGCTGGAGTGCAGTGGAGCACAGTGTTGGCTCGCTGCAATCTCTGCCCCCTGAGTTCAAGTGAGTCTCCTGCCTCAGCCTCTTCAGTAGCTGGGATTACAGGCATGTGCCAGCATGCTGGGCTAATTTTTTAATGTATTTTTAGTAGAGACGGGTTTTGCCGTGTTGGCCAGGCTGATGTCAAAACCCTGATCTCAAGTGATCAGCCCGCCTCAGTCTCCCAAAGTGCTGGGATTGCAGGTGTGAGCCACCAGGACTGTCCTATTCAACCTTTGTATCTGTTTATGTTTATTTATTTTTTTCCTTTTTAACGAAATCTTATTAGAAGTTTTCCCTAATTATACCCTACAGATCCAACCTCTACAATTTGGACCTCATTCTTTTTTCCTTTATATATGTATTAACACGACTGTTTTTTATTTCATCATTTACAGAAAACCAGTTGTCTACCTTGCCATTAGCTCCTTGCTGTCCCCCACCTTTCCCAAACTTCTTGTCATCTCAGCTGATGTTACAGGCACTCTTGGGAGAGCTGCCTTTTCTTTCTGAATTGGTGACTGCTCTCATCAAAAGAAAGTATGGTGACTCAGGCCTGCAATCCCAGCACTTTGGGAGGCCAAAGCAGGTGGATTGCTTGAGCTCAGGAGTTCAACACCAGCCTGGGCAACATGGCAAAACCCTGACATTAGTGAAACAAAAAATAGAAATTAGCCAGGCATGTTGGCACAGACTTGTAGTAGTCCCAGCGATAGCTATTTGGGAGGCTGAGATGGGAGCGATCACCTGAGCCCAGGAGGTCAAAGCTGCAGTGAGCTGAGATCGTGTCACTGCCCTCTAGCCTGGGTGACAGAGTGAGACCCTGTCCAAATTAAAAAAAAAAAAAAAAAAGCTATCAGGCACCTGTCTACTTTTGCTATCAGCTTAAAATCACTGTTTTACCATCTTCTACCTCTGTTAGATTTTTCTCTTTTGTCAGGAAAAAATACTGTCTTCTGTGTTCTTTAGAGACTTTTTATTCCTAGATTTTATTTATTTATTTTGAGACAGAGTCTTGCTCTGTCAACCATGCTGGACTGCAGTGGTGCAATCTCAGCTTATTGCAACCTCTGCCTTCCAGGTTCAAGTGGTTCTCCTGCCTCAGCCTCCTGAGTAGCTGGGACTACAGGTGTGTGCCACCATATCCAGCTAATTTTCATATTTTTAGTAGAGACAGGGTTTCACCATTTTAGCCAGGCTGGTCTTGAATTCCTGACCTCAAGTGATCTTCCTGCGTTGGCCTCCCAAAGTGCTGGGATTACAGCCGTGAGCCACTGTGCTTGGCTAGTCCTAGATTTTAAAATGTTCAAGAATCCAGGTGGGGCACAGTGGTGCTTGTCTGTAATCTCAGCGCATTGGGTGGTTGAAGTGGGAGGGTTGCTTGAGCCCAGGAGATTGAGACTAACCTGGGCAACACAGTGAGACTGTGTCTCTACAAAAAAATAAGAAAACTACCTGGGCATGGTGGCATGTACCTATAATCCTATCTACTTGGGAGGCTGAGGCAGGAGGATGGCTTGAGCCTAGAAGTTTGAGTCTGTGGTGAGATATGATTATGCCATTGCACTCCATACTCCAGTCTGGGTGACAGAGGAAGATCCCGTCTCAAGAAAAAGAAAAAAACAGTTCTAAGAATCCTTTAAGAATGTAGTCAGTCTTGTAAGCCTTGATTCTTGGACCTGTCTCAGTAATAAATCTTACGGAATTTAAAAAACTGTTTAATTTATATGCATTGTTATCTGAGAATCCTGTTTTTATGTTAGAGTTGCTTTAGGCTATAATTGGAAGGATTTCTAAAAGACAGAACTAAAATTTAGGAAGAAAAATAAAATAAATTTTATACAGCTTACCACCTTAGGAAGCCATCTTTCCATTATTTACCTCTGGGCTAAGGTCATACTTTGCTTGTGGTAGATGTTCAGTAAATGTTTGAATGAACGAATAAGTGAATAAGTAAATAAATGTTACTCTCTTAGTTGACACTTGCTACTGAGTTTGTCTTTTTTGTCTTCATTTCCTAACTCCTCCCAAAGTTCTGCAAGTAATAGTAGAGGATTCTAAGGTGTTATTTCTATCAAATGGCTTATTGTGAGTCACTTAACCTTTTTTTTTCTTCTTATGAAACAGTTTTGAGGGAAAAATATGTGGCTCACAAGATACCATTGGGCCCAAAATGTCTCCTTTCTATAACCTACTGAATGTTAACGTGACATGCCGCCTGCCCTGAAGCTCTAAGTGGCTTAATGGTCAAAGTCTTAATTTTTGAACATTGAAATAACATCTGAAATTCTGGTTATAGAAAATCTTTGTTTATTTTCTTTCACTCTTACAAATCCAATAATCATTTATTTGTTGAATCCAGGCACTGCGGGAATTGGTATTAAAATACCGTGAGGACATCATTAATGTGCGGACAGCAGCAGACCACATGGAAGAAAAGCTGAAGGCTGAGATACTTTTCCTAAAAGAGCAGATCCAAGCAGAACAGTGTTTAAAAGAAAATCTTGAAGAAACTCTGCAGCTAGAAATAGAAAACTGCAAGGAGGAAATAGGTGAAGATAATAGTGATGTAGTTTGGAATAAGAGTCACTAAGTAAAACTGTATTAAAGAAGTAATATGTGACCATGGAGTCTGGAACACATAAAAGCACAGGAAAGAATGTAGTAAGGACTCAGTCCATTTTTTTGTAATTTTTAATACAAAAATTAGCCACCACGCCTGGCTAATTTTGTATTTTTAGTAGAGATGGGGTTTCTCCATGTTGGTCAGGCTGGTCTCGAACTCCCGACCCCAGGTGATCCATCCACCTCCAAAAGTGCTGGAATTACAGGCATGAGCTACTGCACCCAGCCAAAAACTTGTCTGTTTATGAGTTCTGTGGCCTTTTTGGCAATTATTCATAGATAGGAGACTCAGTACTTGAACCCAGACCCAGGGAACATGATTTGATGGGTGGCAGTTCCCTGCAGAGATGTGATATATGATCTAGAAGTAGTTTATGACACAGTAGCCATTTGTATGGACCTGAGCCTAAATATGCTGACTGCTTGGTGATAATTTTGAGAAGGCAGCCCCACAACCCATGTTCAGTATGTGTTTGCATCCTTTGGAGGTGTCTAAAATTTTAAAACAATTTTCATGAATAATAATAGATGAATGCTAATACATCTCAATTTTTTTTCTTGTAGCTTCCATTTCTAGCTTAAAAGCTGAATTAGAAAGAATAAAGGTAGAAAAAGGACAGGTAAGTCGTGAGTTTCAAATTAATTATTTCAGCAACCAGTGGTTATTTATTGACTTCTATGTTAGACACAACAAACAAAAAATAATTAAGGCATGGGCCCTGTTTTAAGGAACTTCTGTCTTGGCTAAAGACAATGGGGTAAGGGTGTGATGTGACTGAGAATGCCTCATGCGTCAGGCCATGTTAAACTGAGGAGGTGAGGCTAACGTGTCTGTAGCCTGGGGTTGCCTAGTATAGTGCGAAGATAGACCAGGCATGGTCATAACATGGCATATGCTTAGAAGTACAGTAGAAATATGTATGACAACAGTACAAACAAGAGATGATGTTTTCTAGCTGGTTTAGTCCTCTTAGACATCATCATTACCTTTCATAGAAATCCTATTCAACTTCTTGATCTCATCGTTCCTTGATTTAGAGATTTTCACCTCCACTCTGCCCTCCCTTCTCATGCACTGAGCTGAACTTTCCCCAACTGTGTCATCTCACTGCAACCTAGTTCCTTGACCACAATCTGCCGTTCTTCCAGCTCTTCATCCTGTAGGCCTGTCCATCTGAGTATCTCATTCAGACTTCCAGTTTTTTTCCCCCCTTTTATCCTGGTTGTAACAGCTTCATGGCTTGTTTGCTTTCCCCTAGGTTGCATCTTACTGGCTTGCTTCTTCCCCTCATCTCCCACCACACCTGCCCCCCTCTTTGACTCCTTGCCCTGCTGCTGCCCTCACTTGACTACTGCTGAACCCTGGACTAGCCCTGCTGTCCCTAGCTGGTGATGCCACCAGACTTGGTGACACTGCATGCTCATGCTGCCAGATAGGCCTCCAGTGTTTCTCATGCAGCCTTTCATGTGTCCTCAGTTGCATCTCTTCCATTCCTCAGAGTGGCAATTTCGGTCACCTTTACCTCAGCCCCGTCGCTCAGCAAATGCTGGCCTTACTCCTCAGGCATAAGGCAGGGCCACCTTCAGCTACTGGGTTCCTCAGTTACAGGTTCTCCTTTTATTCCCAGCCTTCTCTTTTTCTTCAGAGAAAATGATGACCTGCATAGTGCCTTGTTGCATAGATGCTTTGACTGAGTATCTCTGGACTTTTCCAGATGTCCCCTCACAGCTCTTGACTGGTCTTTTCCATGATGCATGAACAGGCTAAGGTGTCTCCCATTCAGAGAACAAGTTTCTCTTTGCACTCCTCTTCCAATATACCAATCTTTCTTCTTTCCTGTTGCCACAGTCTTGGTCATCTCACTGCCTGACTTCCCAGTCACCCCTTCACCTGCTGCAGTCTGCTTTCTGCCTCCACTTTGCTACTGAGATTGCACCAGGAGAAATGACCAGTGCTCTAAAGACATCGCATCCTTTCCACTCCAGCTGCCAGTCTTTTGAGTTCAGACTTCACTCTCACCTGGCTTATTGTAACAGCCTAAGATCACGTCCCAGTCTAGTGGAGAGCCCTCCAGTGCTTCCCTTTATGTACAGGATCATGTCTGTATCTTTGGCCCAGCAAGAGCTCTCCTGCCTCAGCACCTCTCTGCCTCACGTTGGGAGTCTGTGGCTCCCAACATACTTGCTGTGCTTGTAGGCAAGCCGGACGTACCACTGTTCCTGCATGTGTTTTTAATGCATGCCCTCCATTCCCTCTTTAGAGTATCTCTTTGCATCTTCTCCCCCATGTCACCCTTGTCTTTCCCCTGTAAAAATATAGGAGTCAAATGTCCTTTCCTCAGTCCTTTGTAACTTTTCTGGCAGAATTAAATGCTTCTTCCTTCATCCTTAAATGTCTGTTTTCTCTGTTCTCCATCTTGAGGCCTTAGAATATAGTTAGTGCCTAATAAATGGGTAATGAAAGAATAGTTCAGGAAGAATACATAGGAGATCCCCAGAGGTGAAAGAGAGTAATATTCCAAGGGTAGCCTGAGGGTCTCGGTGTAATTCTCCAGGCTATAGGCTCTTTTAGGCAGTGTACTGGGGCCTTAAGGGAGTTTCTATGAGTTTCAGCTTTTTCCTTTTTCACAGTTGGAGTCCACATTAAGAGAGAAGTCTCAACAGCTTGAGAGTCTTCAGGAAATGAAGACCCGTTTGGAAGAACAGTTACAGAAAGAGACTGCTGCTAAGGTAGTATTTTTCTTGGTCATTTAATTTTAAAAAGCAGGACTAAGATCACATCTTATGTGTTTAAGAAAAAAATTTGGTGCTTTGAAGTGTCACTTTAAAAATAGTTAGCAAGATTGTCAGCTTGTGAAAAGAAAAAATATAAACAAATTGATCTATTACAGCTGGGTTAAATATTTCTGCTAGCTCTGAAGGCATGTGTCATTGGCTCACTTCAGATAGTAGGCAATCAGGGCCTGATTGGGTTCTGACCAAGCTTGGGTTCTACCTAGTTAGAAGCACTGCTTTGAAAATGTCATTCCATTTGATGGATATATCAAATCCAAGGAGAGATTGTATCAAACCAGATTTGCTGCCTAAATTTTGGTTAGTTTTTGTTAGAATAAATATGCATGTTGTGGGGGTACTTTCCTAGAAATGGTCTTAGTGAGCTTAGTGGTCAGACCTTGAAGTACAGACAGTGTTGTTTAACTGTTTGTTTTCAGAAAGGCTCCCACACATCCTTCTCAAGTTTTCTGTTAGAGAGATTGGGGATAGATGGGGCTGCCTGGGGCATATTCACTGCTTCCTGGTGGATGCTTGACTGTTGAGATTGTCAGAGGAAATCCTGTTTGTATCCCTGTTGCTGTGACAGATGCTAACCTTAGCAGCTGTGTTCTGATGATTATAGCCAGTCACCAGCCACTGAGGGTTGGGGGTGCAGCACTTTAATCCATTTCTTCCTCTGGCTTTCATACCCATTTAATCTTAGGACCTAGAACAAATATTCTAGATGGCTTGCACCCTTGCCTTATAGATGGAAGAGACTGGTAGTATATGGGAGTGTGATGGATACCCACCCACCTTTCTGCTCTAGTAGTAGGTAACTACAAGTTACTAGATTTCCTGATTCTGACCTTTGCTCTTTGGCATTAATCTTCATTCAAAACTTGTATTTTTTAGGCCACCGTTGAACAACTAATGTTTGAGGAGAAGAATAAAGCTCAGAGATTACAGACAGAATTAGATGTCAGTGAGCAAGTCCAGAGAGATTTTGTAAAGCTTTCACAGACCCTTCAGGTGAGGCATTTGGGGAACCAGAGCATGAAGGCAGTTTTAAGGGACAGAACCTTGCTGATCCCTGACTTGACCACTGGCAGTAGCTAGAGGTTTAGAGACTGTCTGCCTCATCATTCAAGTCAGAAACCTGGTGTATTCTTCAGACTTGGCCCCCTTTTTTTCCTCTATACCTGCCAATTTTGCCTCCTTATGAGTCAAATATAAACTCCTCAGCATACCATGTAAGACTCTTCCCAGCCAGGCCTACCCCAGTGTTTTGCTTATCTGTCTGTCTTGTTTTATACTCTCACATTTAACTACTTATAGTTCCTTGCCCACAGCGTGGTGTTGCATCTGGTAAGCATCTTTGTCTCATCCCCTCCTGACTCCTTCCTTTCAAGGCTCAGCATAGGTGTGTCCTCTCCGTGGAGCCCTTCATGGTCCCTGAGCTGGGCTAAAGTGCCTCCTTCCCTCTGTCATGCTCCCTTGGCACTCTATGAATACCTGTAATGAGACAATGACATTTAAAATACTGTCCTAAAACTCTAAGTTTGTTTCCCAATGGAACTGTAGATTCTTATGGGTCAGGAGTCAGGTCTCATTTGTCTCCATAATCCTAACAAGGTACACTTTAAAATCCTAATCTGGGCTGGGCACGGTGGCTCACACGTGTAATCCCAGCACTTTGGGAGGCTGAGGTGGGAGTTAAGGACCAGCCTCACCAACATGGAGAAACCTCATTTCTACTAAAAATGTAAAAATTAGCTGGGGCTAGGAGTGTTGGCTCACTCATGCCTGTAATCCCAGTACTTTGGCAGGTCGATCACCTGAGGTCAGGAGTTCGAGACCAGCCTGATCAATATGGTGAAACCCCATCTCTACTAAAAATAGAAAAATTAGCCAGGCGTGATGGCACGTGCCTGTAGACCCAGCTAGTTGGGAGGCTGGGACAGGAGAATCGCTTGAACCCAGGAGGTGGAGGTTGCAGTGAGCCGAGATCACACCATTGCCCTCTGGCCTAGGTGAAAAGAACAAAACTGTTTCACAAAAAAATAAATAAAAAATAAATCCCAGTCAGTTACACAGTAACTTTGGGGAATTATTTTAAAAATTTAAATTGTTCTTGTTGTCTCCCTTTGACATGACTACTACTCTGGTAAGTTAAATCTGCTGCATCTCAGCTAAACCAGTCAAAGTTCAGAAAGTCTAGGCAGGAGCCACCTGTACTCATCTCACCGTTGTTTCTTCAGGTGCAGTTAGAGCGGATCCGGCAAGCGGACTCCTTGGAGAGAATTCGGGCAATTCTGAATGATACTAAACTGACGGACATTAACCAGCTCCCTGAGACATGACACCCTGATGGCAGGATTCTAGCCTGCACTTTGGGTTTTTAACTCATCTTTAGAGCAACATTAATTGTTATTTAACTCTTACCTGAAGAAAGAGAAGTCACAACAAAAGGAAGACTGGTGAAATGCTTACTTCTAGAGGGAGAAGACTGTGCGGCACAGGAAACAGCAAACAGTGGGGCGATTTACAGCCAAGAGACCTTCAAACGGGAACACTAATGAGATTCCAGGCTTGATTCCAACAGGCGTGGGATCAGATTTGGTGATGGAAAAAGTGCTGTTTCCTTGCCTGCTTTCTCCCATAGATTTTTGGAATACATTTCCCTACCCTAAAGCAACATCCCAGTAGTGTTTGGAATTTTCTGTTCATAGATATTGGAAGAGAGAATTTGCTTTACCTGTTGTCTAGAGCTCATCAGTAACAGCATTCAGTTAGCAGACAGAGGTGTGTAGTATGCTGTATGAATATTTTATATTAAAATATGAAGGTTTGAGAGCAGGACATTGGCTACTGACTGTATTTCCCTTGCTCAGTACATTTTTGTTTTCCTTTTACCATTTTATCTTGTTTTGGAGGACTTTAAATGCTACTGAAACTTACCTGAGAACCATAGGACTGTGGCAGACAAAACCAATTCAGGAAGTGAATTAATTATGAGGATCTGAAAACTTGGTTGGGGCCATATATATATATATATATATAAAAGTTGAACGTTAAAGGAAAAGCACAAGAAACTTTGGAAGCACTTTTTCTGCAAACTTAGATGATCTTCATGGGCCCACAGGTACCAGGATAAAGCCAAATTGGTACCATCTACTCTTTAGAAGTGTTTTAGTCTAGTCATTGGATCAGTGAAAAACATTAATAAAACAAGCTTTGTCTGACAACCTCTAGTATACATTTACAAATCTGCTTATTTTTCCAACTTGGATCATTAGGCTTAAGTACTACTTGTTTCAAATGTGTCAAAAACAAAAATGGTAACTAGGTTGACAGATATTTTGTATTTTTTCTTTTAAATTCAGATCTGCAACGTAAGTAACAATGCTTCTGGAAAGCCAGTTAGAATATTGACCAGTTTGGAAATCTGCCTTCTCACTTTACAAGAGGTTAGATTCCTTTGCTGTGTGAGGAAAGCCTCAATGAAACAGGTCTTTGCCATAACTTGATGATTGAGTGCTACAGAAAGCACAAAGAACTGATTCATGTTCACCAATACCTGCCGAGTACTGTCCCAGGAATATCCAGTGGATGGATGGCTACACTGTTTAATTCATCATCCAGATGGTTCAAAGGTAAAATGGTTTTCAAATAATTTTTGAGATTGGTTGCATCACAGTGGGGTACCTGAAAGAGGCTTCTGGGAGTTAGTGAACTAGGTAGATTGTTTTGTTCACATAAAGCCACCATCCACTTAAATTGTCTTTGTTATAAATAAGGTCACTATGGACTTGCCCTAAAGATCTTCTGTACTTGTCTTCCATAGGACAAATGCTAAGTACTACATACCTCATCTCTTGGCTTATTATTGTAGTCTTGCATTCATGATTATGAATTTAAAAATAAATGCTAATTATGGAAATAATACTAAAGGCTTGCTGCGCATGAAACATTATTTTAATTGGTTTAAAGTCCCTTGATAAAGAGTGCTGTACAGTTTAGATAAAGGAAACACGTAACTATCGAGTTACAGGGGATTTTATTAATTATAAAAATGCAATAAATTTAAATTATGTAGGTTTAAGACTAGTCCCTTGGATAAGCCCCAAAGTTGTCTTCAGATTATTAAAATTAGTGCTGTAAATCAGGGTGGGCAATTCACAGCCTTTCTGAACTGACTGAACTATAGCTTGCAGTGAAATGTTCTGCTGAGATGAGCACCTTACAGATTTTTTTTTCTAGAATATGGTACTGGGTAATAAAATCATCACAATTTAGGGAACGGTTAGTGGTTTCTACTGTGGCAAATGCAAACTATTGGAATTCACTTTATTGAGAAAAATATTGTAGAAAAACCCAAACGGAGACTCTAGATTTTGTTTAAAAATGTGTTTCTGGTATGAAACAAACTACTGTGACCCTGTACAGGTAGGAAACAATTCTTTTAACTGGGTTTTCAGCATTAATGGGAACTGATTGAGAAGGCAGGACTTAGCCCTTCTAGGCAAAAGATAAGATCAATTGGGTTTCATGAGTGTTCCTGTGTTTATATTCAGTCTGTGCATACATGTTCTCACGCATGTCTAACCTGATTTACCTCTTACCTGTAACCTACTTTATGTGGTTTTTAATTGGCAGTCACTCAGCCATTTCTAAGCAGGCATAGTACTACCTTTCAGAACTCAATGGCAAGTATGAAAAAAAGACTTAAAGAGAACTGAGAACAAAGTCACATTCTGCATACTAAATCTCTTTTTTTCTCCCTTTAAGGTGCTAAACTTGCACCTCATGTCCACTCAATAACAAGTATTGTGACAGAGCACAGCCTCACACTCAACTCTGAAAGGTAATACCACCTGTGAGGAAGTGAGCCAGCAGTGGCTTTTGCAGTTGTGGATCTTGAGCTCTGCTCTTAGCAGACTTCAGGTGTAACCATTTGTTAATTGTACTGAAGGCGTGTCCTTAAGAAAGTGTTCAAATTAAAAAAGCTGCTGCCGAGTACACTGTGTGGTCTTTTCCTTTGAATCCTAGGGTTCTAACCCTCTTCAGAGTCATTTCTGTTGCTACTTGAAAACACAGCTCTTATTCTTGCTCAAATCTGGAGAAAACTCAACAGGGCTCAGGAAGGTTCTGGCAGTGTAGAGTGAAATAATCCTGAGTCCTTGCCGAATACCACTGTAGGCTTGAGTTAATAAAAGCATTTACTGAATAATTATAAAACAAAATGTTTAAGAAGATGAAAAACCACACCAAAGGTCATCCAAAATGCCTTTTTATAAATGAAATAATGCTACCTGTTTTACAATATGGGTTTAAGCCTTCAGTGGTGTTCACTTCAGGTGTGATTCGGCTCCTGGTGGTGTCAGAAGTTAACATGATTGCGGATATCATTGATTTGCTTCACCATTTCCTTTATGTGTTCACCCCTGTAAAATCGTAAAGCCGCTTACTTTTGGAAATATAATAAACCATTTGTATGGATTCTTAAGAACTGAAATGGTTAATGTTGAAGTATCTAAGAACTGCTTTGCCAAAATTAACAGTTGAAGGTTTCAGATGGATAGCAATAGTGTTCACTATTCATTTAAGATGGCAAACAGTGATACCAGTACTGGAAATATTTTTGAACAGAATTGTAAAATACCTTTGGCCACACAACAAAATCATGTTATTGGAAGGTCGTAATTTTCAGTCCTCCCACTATAGTTATTTCTTAAGTCCCTATGTATCATGTGGCTCTCGTCCCAGTAATTACATGCAAAATACCAAGATTCAGATTTCTATTAAGACAGAGGATGACTGTGGTGTACTGTAAAGGAAAGACCATCTCAGTAATAGCTGATCGCAAGTATTTACTTACTCTTCCTTCAGGATGGACTGAATGCACTTTCGCTGGTAGGCACTGAGAGTAATGGTGGGTTTTTGAAGACTCAACACCTTCTCCATCTTTCGCTGTTGATAGTCTTTTTTCATAGTAACCTTAAGTATCAAAAATAGATATTCTGGTAATGGTTTGCCAAACATTTTCACAGTATCTTATTGAATCTGCTCTTTTTACATTTTTGTAAAATTTTCTGTAGAATAAGTACTTTAAAAAAAATTGCCACATTTAGCTACTTTGGATCTATTCCTACCTGTTTTATGGCATTGCCCAGATGTCGAAGTTGATCAGGTATTAGCTGTAATTCTTTCTTCATGTCTCGCTCACTATCAGAGAGAACTGGGAGCTGAGAGTGAAAACTGTGAAGTACTTTTTTCATCCTTCAGAAAAGACAAGCACACATCTCAACTTAAGGTCTCTCCTAATTAGGAGAAGCATAATCACGAACCTCATAATTCATGAATCTGGTGTTCGGGAAGTAGGCCCCATAGGAAGGGCTGGGGGGAGAGCGTCATGTTTTCCCCAATATGTACTTCAGAGGAAAGGTAGGGGGATCAATACAATCCTGCAAGTATGTAAGCACCTGCCAATGCCCATCACTGTTAGTACTGAGTAGGTAACTAAATGTTACACAGCCCACTGACCTGTTCATGATATCCTCTTGTTTTTCCTTGGCTTCCTCATATTTGTCAGCTAAACGCTCAGCCATTTCCCGCAGACTTTTCCTAATGACGTAAGAAATGAGACTCCTGGGGTCCACACCTTGATGTTGAAACCAACTAATGTGGCTCAGAATCTTAGGGTGAATATGGTTCCAGTCTTACTAACTTACTGTTTTCATCTCCTTATTTTTGACACTTACCTCTCCTCTCGACAATAATTGAGATCTTCTAGTTGTTTCTTTTTTTGTTCACATAACAATTTGACCCTTCAAGAACAAAAAGAAATAGAGTGTAATCAGAAGCCAGGTCTAGGCTATGACATAGCATCAGCTACTAGCCAGGGATTAATGGTTTGTGAACAAAGGACATCATACCTCCGTTGAATCTCCTCCTTTGCCAAGTCCTGTTTAAGAATGTACTGTTCTCTGAACACCTGCGTGGCTCTGCTGATGAGCTGAAGACATTCTTCAGGAGGAGGGGCTATGTCCTTTTCAGAAGATCTTAAAAACAAAGTTTCTACCTTTATTTTCCTTAGCTGAGTAAGACAACTGAAAATAGACTCAAGTCACAGGTGCTTTTCAAACTTATAATATTTTTTATTTCTTTGAGATGGAGTCTCACTCTGTTGCCCAGACTAGAATGCAGTGGTACAATCTCAGCTCACTGCAACCTCTGCCTCCCAGGTTCAAATTTTTTTCCTGCCTCAGCCTCCCCAGTAGCTGGGATTACAGGTGCCCACCAACACGCCTGGCTAATTTTTGTATTTTTAGTAGAGATGGGGTTTCACCATGTTGGCCAGCCTGGTCTTGAACTTTCGACCTCAGGTGATCCAGCTGCCTTGGCCTCCCAAAGTGCTGGGAATACAGGCATGAGCCACCATGCCTGGCATAATTTATTTGTAAATACTTCCTATTTATCATTCTCAGGTGCCACTTCTCCTTACCCCATTCACTAATTGATTAAATATATCCAGTTTTTTTCCAAATCCATCACAGTAAAAAGTAGATGAAACAGATGAGGACAGAAAGGATGCACAGTAATTATGAAGACGGAAGAGAACCCATTCATAAAACCGCTATGCCCAAGGTTGCATACTTCAAAAATGCCGGATTGGCAACATTACGTTGCAAAATGCTTCTAATATGTTTTTCAAAGGAATCTGGGGTTTCAGCCAGAATACGGAGGGGAGACTCTGCCACTTCAACATCTTCTCGAGTACAAAGCAGAGGAGGAGACGCTGGATGCACTGTACTTCTGCAAAATAGATAAGTAAACTGAAGTCGACCATGGAGTGATTTACTGTATTACAGAAAAGCAGAAACCACACTGATCCAGAACTTTCAGAATATAAAAATAAGGTGTGACTTTTGTAAAAGTGCAAGAATGCATGTTTTCCACCTTGAAAAGGTCACTTTGGGAAGCTACACCCTTACTCTTCCAATTCCACCATCTGTCAAAGCATTTCTGATTGCCATTTCATGTTATTTTTTTTTCAAAAGATCAAGGCAGCACAAAAACATAAACCCATCATGGATTCTGGCAAAGGACTTAAGAGCCAGTTTATAAGGCAGAGCCACGAACAGAAATCACTTACCAGTTAGGTTTAGAGTTGACCAAAACCATTATTAAGCCTGGTAACTGCTGTATATACCATATTGGTTCTATATAATTTGATTTTTAAAAACTATTCACTCAAGTGCAAATACTCAAAAACACTTCAGAAAGAGCTTAAAAGATCTCCCAAACTTTGGCAGCATGTTAAGTAACTTACTCTGAAGGCAGCAATTCAAATGTGAAAGTTTGGTCATGCGTGGTGGCTCAAGCCTGTAATCACAGCACTTTGGGAGGCCCAGGTGGGTGAATCACTTGAGATCAGGCATTTGAGACCAGCCTGGCCAACGTGGTGAAACCCCGTCTCTATTAAAAATACAAAAATTAGCTGGGTGTGGTGGCACACATCTGTAATCTCAGCTACTTGGGTGGCTGAGGGATAAGAATTGCTTGAACCCAGGAGGCGGAGGTTGCAATGAACTGAGATCACACCACTTGCACTCCAGCCTGGGTGACGGAGCGAAATGGTCTATTAAAAAAAAAAAAGGTGAAAGTTTGTTAAGTAGCATAACTTTTTAGACAACTTGTATTTCAGGGAGTTCGCAGAAATATTATTTGAAAGTATCCAGATAATTGGCTGGGCGTGGTGGCACACGCCTGTAATCCCAGCATTTGGGAGCCTGAGGCAGGAGAAATGCTTGAACCTGGGAGGCGGAGGTGGCAGTGAGCCAAGATCACGCCACTGCACTCCAGCCTGGGCAATGGCACAAGACTCTGTCTCAGAAAAAAAGTATTCAGATAATTAATGTTGATTTTTCCTCTTTGGGATTCATATTTACTCTGAAGTAACCTAGTGTGAGTAGGTTTTATTTTACTGAATGCACTGGGGGTCTTTAGAAAGTATGCTGAGACAACTGGCAAGTAGGCAATTTTTTCTCCAGTGATTATATTATTTTTGTTTGGTCTTGCTAGTTTTTAGTGCCTTTAATATAAATAACACAAAACGGTACTTCTTTCTTTTTGCATCCAAATAGTATAACTTATCAACCTTCAAAGAGTATGGAAGATCCTCTAAGAATGGTAAACTACTGCCAGAATCTGGCATTTATGTCAGCATCTAGAAGTACATGCTGTGAACAGTCAAGGGGTTGGAGTGGTGTCTAACGTCTGAAGTTCCAGTGACTTTTGTTTTTGGTACTCCTATTCCTGCATTTAAATAACTCAGAATGACCTTCCAGGGCTGTTAGAAAAGGAATATAGTGATTATAGCTTAATTATCTGAGTTTCTTGAGGAAGGACTAAGAGTTCAGCTTTTTTTTTTTTTTGAGATGGAGTCTTGCTCTGTCACCCAGGCTAGAGTATAGTGGTGTGATCTTGGCTCACTGCAACCTCCACCTCCCGGGTTCAAGCAACTCTCCTGCCTCAGCCGCCTGAGTAGCTGGGATTATAGGCACCCGCCCCCTGTGTTCAGCTACTTTTTGTATTTTTAGTAGACCAGGCTGGTCTCAAACTCCTGACCTTGTGATCCACCTGCCTCAGCCTCCCAAAGTACTAGGATTACAGGCACGAGCCACTGCACCCAGCCCTTTTTTTTTTTTTTTTTTTTAAGATACAGGGTTGGCCGGGCGGTGGCTCACGCATGTAATCCCAGCACTTTGGGAGGCTGAGGCGGGTGGATCACGAGGTCAAGAGACCGAGACCATCCTGGTCAACATGGTGAAACCCCATCTCTACTAAAAATACAAAAATTAGCTGGGCGTGGTGGTGCACGCCTGTAATCCCAGCTACTTGGGAGGCTGGGGCAGGAGAACTGCTTGAACCCAGGAGGCGGAGGTTGCGGTGAGCCGAGATCGTGCCATTGCACTCCAGCCTGGGTAACGAGCAAAACTCAGTCTCAAAAAAAAAAA